AGGAACTTGAGGCCTCATGCATTCTATCAGGTGCACCGCATTACTGGGAAGATGGTAGCCACTGCCAGCTATGAAGCTGTCGTCAGTGGTACCAAAGTATTGGAGATGACCCTGCTCCCTGAGAACAACATGGCTGCAAAGTAAGTCCCCACTCAACTTCCTCTCAATTTGCAGGATTTAGGACCAGTGAGGCCTACTTCTTTCTCTTCCCAGAGGAGATAGACATTATCCCTAAGAGCTGGTTTCTAGCCTTCTATCATCTTTCTAGATTTGGGGTCTGGGAAGCACTCTGGAGAGGACATCTCTGGGTTAGAAAATAGTCCCCCTAGATACCCTTAGAAGGTCACAAGGCTTTGGATGGAGAGCAGGGGCTTCCCTCCTAGCTTTAGCTAGAAAGGTTGGCCATCTATCCTCTGCCCTCAGCATTGACTGTGCTGGAATCTTGAAGCTTCGGAATTCAGACATTGAGCTGCGGAAGGGTGAGACAGACATCGGACGCAAAAACACGCGTGTGCGACTGGTGTTCCGGGTGCACGTGCCACAGGGCGGAGGCAAGGTCGTCTCGGTGCAGGCAGCATCGGTGCCCATTGAGTGCTGTGAGCAAAGAGGCCTTGGCTATTTCTCTGTCTCTTATGACTGTGTGTTTGCTGCCACCTATTTCCTGTGTCCTTTCTGTCCTGGTTGCTCTTAGAGACTCTTTTCAACGGATGTGGGAGTGGTAAGGATGGTGTTCTCGTTTGCCTTTGCTATGGACTCTGTCTCTGGGCTGACCTAAAGTGACTCTGCACCCCATCTTCCTCTAGAATGGCCTGTGCACTTGTTTGGGTAACTCCCTAGCTTACCCTGTTCACCTCTTTCAGCTCCAGGAGTGGTCCCTTATAATGGATAAGTACAATGGAAAAGTATCTCATGGATACTTTTGATTTACTGTGTGTCTGCCACTGAGGATGGCTCCCCAGGTCTGGTGGCATGTATTCCAAAGAGGGTTGGGGCAGAGGAGGCCTTCACACCTACCCCAGCCAGGCTTCTTCCTTGCACTGCTCTGCAGCCCAGCGCTCAGCCCAGGAGCTGCCCCAGGTGGAAGCCTACAGTCCCAGTGCTTGCTCAGTGAGAGGAGGCGAGGAACTAGTACTGACTGGCTCCAACTTCCTGCCGGACTCCAAGGTGGTGTTCATTGAGAGGGGCCCTGGTGAGTACCCACCTGGGAGGGGAGAGTAAGCAGGAAGAGCTTGTAACTGGTGGTGAAAGATCTCTGGCATTGTCACTAAGCTAGTTGGTTGAGCCTTAGTTTCTTTATCTGTTGAATGGGACAGATTCTCCCAACCCCACCACTGTACTGTCTGCTTCCCATGGGGAGATGGGTAGCAATCTAAAACATTGAGAATGCTGAGTAAATATAAGAAATATACATCCTGTTTATTAAAGAGGAGCCAGCTTTAAGATGATTTACCCCCATATAGATATAGTAAATAAAGAGAAGGGATAACTCACCCTCACAGCTTCTCCAGAGCTCTTCCTGAGTTATGGGACATAAGCACAGTTACAGATGTAAGAGCCTATGATGTGTCCCAAGTGGAGCTCAGTGTGAAGAAACGAAAGACTGAGGGTTTCAGATACAACCACCAGCCTGAGGCCTTTCCCCAACCTCAGTCATGCTCACCAAGAATCTCAGCCCCTAGACCCACATTTAGCACCCTGGGACAATGTTAGAGCATCTTCAGAGGTTCTGTTCATGAGACTTGAGGGTCTCTCTGCCTTCCTCAATGCTGACATCCCCTCTCAGCATGGGAGAGGATGTTTGGACTTGGGTGGGAGGTTTCCAGAGTTGCTTCTGTCACTAACTCGTTCTAGTCCCTTTGCTGGTCGTGTGATCCCCTCTGATCTTAGTTTATTTCCCTGAATCTTAGGGAAGTTTTTAAACCATTCAATTGAGTAAACACAAAATGGCCTCTTTTGTGCCAGACCTTCTAAAAACCTTCTGGATTTGGTCTTGGCTCCAGTAGAAGGGGAAAGGGTAGGGGACTAGGGCAGGGGCAGGGGCCTGGAGTTGGGCTGGAGCTCTCTGTTCCCCTTGCACAGATGGAAAGCTGCAATGGGAGGAGGAGGCCACAGTGAACCGATTGCAGAGCAATGAGGTACCAGTATCACTGGGGAACCCATCCTGGAGGCTGTAGGGTGGGAGAAGTCAGGAAATTCTCAAGTGGGTCCCTTGGCCATGGGAGTGGATTCCAGAGCTACGTATTCTTTCCTGGAGGAGTCTGGCCACTCTGGAAGCAGGTTCATCTCTAGGGAATGAACTTTGCTCCTCAGCAAGTGGAAAAAACTAGGAGGTGAGGTTTGGGTCCTTAGAAGGGCTGGGCAGAGCCCAGATTCTTGAGGGCCCTTGCCTCATCTTCTGCTCTTTTCCAGGTGACACTGACCCTGACTGTCCCTGAGTACAGCAACAAGCGTGTGTCCCGGCCAGTCCAGGTCTACTTTTATGTCTCCAATGGGCGGAGGAAGCGCAGTCCTACCCAGAGTTTCAAGTTCCTGCCTGGTATGCTGTAGGACAGCTATGGTGGGGACTGAGGCATGGGGGTAGAGGGATATAGTGCCCCATCCTGAGGGGTCAAGGGATGAATGAAACCTGAGAAGGGAAGGTGATTGGAAGGTGTGCAGAGGGGACATTGACAGACTCTCACCAGCATGTCCTCCTGCTTCCCATCTTCCCAGTGATCTTCAAGGAGGAGCCCCTACCAGACTCATCTCTCCGGGGCTTCCCTTCAGCATCGGGCCCCCCTTTTGGCACTGACATGGACTTCTCACCACCCAGGCCCCCCTACCCCTCCTATCCCCATGAAGACCCTGCTTATGAAAATCCTTACCTGTCAGAAGGTTTTGGCTATGGCACGCCCCCTATGTACCCACAGACAGGGCCCCCACCATCTTACAGATCAGGCCTGCGGATGTTCCCTGAATCTCGGGGTACCACAGGTTGTGCCCGCCCACCTCCAGTCTCCTTCCTTCCCCGCCCCTTCCCTAGTGACCCATATGGAGCACGGGGCTCCTCTTTTCCCCTGGGACTTTCATTCTCTCCTCCAGCCCCCTTTCGGCCTCCACTACCTTCATCCCCACCACTTGAAGGCCCCTTCTCTACCCAAAGTAGTGTTCATTCCCTACCCGCTGAGGGATACAATGAGGTAGGGCCAGGCTATGGCCCTGGGGAGGGGGCTCCGGAGCAGGAGAAATCCAGGGGTGGCTACAGCAGCGGCTTCCGAGACAGTGTCCCTATCCAGGGTATCACGCTGGAGGAAGGTGGGTGTGGGACCGGGGAATGTGAGTGTGAGTGGGTGCGAGAGATTGCTCTGCGTGTTTGCTGAGGGCTGGAGCTTGGCTTTGCAGAGTTTGGGCATTCCTGATCTCTCAGAGCCAGTTGGAAGGCCCCAGGAATAAGATCTTGGTGTGTGTGACCACTTGAATTCAGTTAGCTTATTCTGAAGATTGCATGGAGTTCCTGTCCCAGCCTTTTACCTGCCTCTGCCCAAATCACAAAATCTCAAAGCAAGAAGTATTTTTCAAGGCCATCTCATTTCTCTCTGAATTTGCAGTTCTGGGGGTTGGGGACAGTGGCTTGCTGAGGTCCTAGTCAAGCACAGTTTTTCCTTGCCTCAGCCTTCCCCCAGCATGGTGACTGTGGTTGGCATTGATGATGAGGGACCTTCGTGCTTTGCCTCTTCTCTCCCCCACTGGCTATGCCCACTGACACCGATGGCCCTGACATGCCAGCAGGAATAGGCTGGGATGGGGGCCTGGGAGTCCACATGGATGAATTTGGGCAAGATTTGGTTAGGAGTGGGTGTCAAGACACATTGGGGAAACCTAGGCTCAGTGAAAGAGAAGCCAGTGGAAAAGGAACCTAGAGATGTTCTAGCCCAAGGCCTGCCTAGAATGGATTGGGGATCTCTGGGCTTGCCCCAGGCCAGTCTCTCAACTGCCCCTCCTTTACAGTGAGTGAGATCATTGGCCGAGACCTGAGTGGCTTCCCTGCACCTCCTGGAGAAGAGCCTCCTGCCTGAACCACCACCTGGCAAACCCAGCCCAAGTCTCAGCCCTGCCTGCTTCCCCTTCTACCTGGATGCTGGCTCCAGAAGCTTTGGGCCAACTCTAGTTTCTTTTTCCCCAGCTTCTGCCTGTCTCCCCTCCTCTCCCACCAAATGAGGTGTGGCCCCCAGGCCTGGTGCTGCCTTGAAGGACTGGGGGAGGGATTGTGTAGAGGGCAGAGGAAGGGGGTGGAGACCGAGGCTGGGTGCCAGAACTGACAGGTGGAGATGATGTCCAGCTTGTGTGCAGGCTATGGTGCTGTGAGGCTGGGGACAGGTTGATGGGTAATAAACTGCTCACTGACCAGTGTTTCAGGCTCCAGAGCTCTTTGGAGAGGGTGATGCAGCTTACTCCAGTCCTGGCCCAAGGAGGCTGAGAAATTGGAAAGAGATGGCCGAGAACATCGCATGCCAAGGAGCTTCCTGGGTGACAAGGGGAGGCATGAAGGGGTTCCAGAGGCTCCCTGACTGGGGCTGAGGTTGGAGAACAGGACTTGAGTAGGCCTCTCTACCCTGTTTTCTGTGGGATTCATATTCTTTTAGGAGCTTTGGGATGGGACCTAGTAATCTTTTTTTTTTTCTCCAAATTCTTTTGTCTTGCTGCCACCCAGATGATTCTGATTCATAGCCAATGTGAGGAAACACTAGTGTAATCATTCCCTCATATACAGAGGAGGAATTTCAGAGAGGGAAAGGGACTTGCTCAAGACCACATAACTAAATAGTAGCATCTTGGTTGCTGCATTCCTGGACTCTTTGACCTCAAAGATATGGGATCCTGAGGCTCATTCCTTGTAGTGAGGGAGATGAGGAAGAGCTGGCATGGGCCTGTCTGTACTCTGGGTCTCCAAAGTATAGATTAGGCCCTGCTGTATTCTCCAAAGTATAGACAAGGTACTGCCATTACTTCATTGTTAGACATTTATTGAGCAGCTACTAAGTTCCAGCTTATAGGGCTTAGAGGACTTAGCTTCATGGGGCTAGAGTAGTTAAACAGTATTATAATTCAATAATTATACTCTTGCAGACTGTGAATACATTCTGAAAGATTTGTGCTTCAGGGGTAGACTACAGAAAGCCAAGCACCCTCCCCAGCAGCTCTGAGTGCTACCTGCCTGGGACTCAGAACATTGATTGTCTAAGTTCCTGACTTGTCCTACATTTGGCCTTCTGCTTAGCTGGTAAATCCCTCACCATGATAGGCCCAGCCTGGAAACCTGATCTGCCCCCATCTTGATGGCCTATGAGACCAAGTCCAAGTGAGCTGGGGAAAGTCAGATTATATCTGTCCTGCTCACTGGAACCTGGCATACAGTAGGCTTTGAGTACAACCAGGTAACGTCAGCTGCAGAGTGTTGTACCCAAAAGACATCCAGGTAGTTAGTGCTCAGGAAACTGGCTTTACCTCAATGCTGGTGAGGCCTCTATGCTCAGGGAAGCCAGACAATTCTGGCAATTCCCAGGAGTGCTGAGAAGAATAAGACAGAAACTGCCTAAAGATTGGAGGCCAAGAGAACCTGGGTGACCTGTCCCCCCCCCCCCATGCCTGTTGCTGCTTTGTAATGAATTCCCTGAACATGAACTGCTGTGAACCAAACTGACATCAAGTGATCGCTTCAACAGGCCTTAGAAGCTATCAAACAGATAGCTTCAGACCCCAGCCAGAGTCATTGCCCTATAATCTTCATGTCAGAGGGACCATGGGGCACTTCCAGCGTTCTTTAAATTAGCTCACCCCCAAGGTCTCTGACAGGGGCTGGGTCAGTCTCTATATGAATGAAAAACCATCACAATGGGGATTCACTTCCTTTCAATGTGGACTATTTCATTTTATGTCTGGGCACTGCATGCTTTCATTTTCAGAAATTTATTGAGCAATTACTAAGTACCAGCCTATGGGGCTTGGAGGACTTAACTTCTTGGGGCAACAGTAAGTAAACAGCATTATAATTCAACAGTTCAACTCAGTAAATATTTCTTGTACAGGGAGTACATCAGAGCTGGGGATGGGGGTCAGAGCAATTTTTATATGGGGTATAGAGGGAACAGAGAACAGAGGCCACTTCATTTAGTTGTGGGGATTAGGGAACATTTAGTTGTGGGCACTAGGGACTTCTAAACTGTGACTAGAAATTGACTAAGCTAAGAGTAGGGAAAAGATAGGCCAGGAAAACTTATCGGAATAGGTGAAATCTTGGAGTAGATAGGCAATTAAGGAAGGTTAACAGATCTTGAGGGCCTGGCATGCTTGGGGAACTAAGAGGGGTCAGCATGGGAAAATTGGGGCAGGTGCAGTTTTGGAAGAGGGGTGCTGTAAGAAGAAACCAGAGAAGGAAGCAGGGTCTGGATTCTGAAGGGCCCTGTAGCTTGCTGGGGATTTAGCTGTCCATGGCTTGTGGGAGTGCTCCTGCTAGACCTTAAGCTGGGAGTGACACACAAGATTTGCCATAAAATTATTCCTCACATGGAGTTCATATCAGCTTCCTTGTGACTTCTGCCAGGGCCGTCACCTGACCTCTGGATCCACACTGTACAGGCCTGACCCTTCTGTTTAGTAGAATCCTAATGTGGGCTGGCCTCCTGGGGTCTTTGCAAGCTGTCATTCTGGGACTCCAGGGTTATCCTCTCTTCCCAGGATCTCTACAGACATCTAGCTTCCATGAGGCTGTAGTTGGGAGAGAGAAAAGGAAGTTGGGTCCCAGCTAGGGCCAGGAAAGCCCTTCACCAGAGTTTGTCAAAAGTGTGGTTTGAGGATTACTTGTATTGGCATTACCAAGGAGGTTTGGCAGATTTTTTATTTTGTCTTTTTCTTTTAAAGCAGACTCCTAGACCATCCCTGATCTATTCAGTTACATTGTTGAGGGGTGGGGCCAGGTATTTGCATTTTAAAGAGCACTCTACATGCTTCTTCAGCACAGGAAAGTTTAAGTAGAGTCATCTGCCAACTAAGTGTCAGATTCTAAAATAGCTTCTCTGATTCCTTTTCTATATCTTGTCTGGACTTGCCTGGGTGGGGTGGGGTGGGGTTGCCTGGAAAAGAATTTGGGCAAGGGGAAGGGGGGCACATCTGCTGCATATTGCAACTCATCTTTCCCCTCACATGGCTCTGTCCTGGAGTCTAGGTGCAGGAGCATCTGTTCTTGGGACTTATTAAATCTCCTTCTCCGAGTGGAACTTCTGGACCTTCAAGATACTTGTGGAGTAGAATGTAGGGCTGCCTTCCAGTTGGGTTCTGGCCATTCTTGGAATGGATTCTATGATGTCTGGAAGCCCGCTGCTGGACTGAGATAGCACAGAGAAAAAGACCACAGTGAAACAACACTCATGCATATCCTGGAAATTCCAGATGCAGAAAGTGCACAGGAGAGCTGGGCACTGAGGCACTTACCTATAGTGTTGGCTACTTAGGAGGCTGAGGCAGGATGGGCAGTTGGAGCAACTTAGATCAGGAAGGAAGGAAGGAAGGAAGGAAGGAAGGAAGGAAGGAAGGAAGGAAGGACAGGTAAGCACAGAGGTTTGACCACTTTTTTGGGGGAAATCTGTTTTAGTGGCCTCAGTGTCTGATTGACTAACCAACTCCACACAAAGTCCTACAGGGCCCCTGCTCTGTGCCAAGTCCTATGCTAGAGGATGGACCTGAGCGTCACAAAGCCTTGAACCTGAGGAGTGTACTATTCTGTCACTAGAGGGAGAGACCTTCCTGTCTGGAAATCAGGGTGCGATGCTTTGATCAGAACTTGTCTGAGAGGCAGAAATGACCTATTGCTATGGAATACTGGAAACCTGGCCCAAGTGAGAGTGTCAAAGAACATCTTATCAAGGTGGATGATTTTGAACTGGATCCCAGAGAAGGAGTGGAAGTGTTTTGAGTAAATAAGACAGATGAGAAAGAGATAAGAGAAACAGAGGGCTGTGCTTGGGACTTGAAGTGCATAAGGTCACACTTGGGATGCTTTAATTGGCCATGTTAAGTGTGCCATGTGTTCTGTGATAATAGGAAACTATTCACTTATTTGATAAGAGCATCTTTCTACAGGAGTGTGTATGTGTGTGTGCGTGCGTGTGTGTGCGCGTGTGTGTGTGTGAGAGAGAGAGAGAGAGAGAGACAGAGAGAGAAAATGCATGTGTGTATGATTTATGATTTAGAACCTATTTGAAGATATAGTGCAGGGAGACCAGAAAGAAGGGTTTTGTAGTAATTCAGGCAAGAGAAGTCTGGGTTCTACCCACTGCTTTGCTCAGCTAAGCAGGATTAGCTAAAATGAGGATAAGAATAGGAAAGGCCCTGGGCAGGCATCCCGGCTCGGTCATCAACAGTCTATGATCTTTAATGCATCACCAGACCTAACTAGGCCCTAGCTGCCTCATCTGTAAATACTTACTGAGATCTTGCTAGGTATCAACTTCTGTGTAGTTTCCAGGGATAGAACACTGGATGAGACCAAAAAAAAAAAATTCCTTTCTTCCTGGACTTCAAGTTTAATATGCTCTTCCAGAATAATGTGTAATGTCAGGATAGCACTGGGTGCTTTGAGAGCTCAGAGAAGGGCCACATAACCTGCCCTTTCCTGATGCTTGTGTATAGTGATGGTAGATCATTATGTTTGAGATGACTTGTTGGACTCATCCCTTATAGGGAGGGACAAGATGTTCTCTGAAAGGAACAAATATTCCCAGTGTCAGCATCCTAAGATGAACAGCATACAGGGTCAGGAACATAGATTTGCTTCTCAGGCCTCGGATAGAGATGGAAGAAACATCTCTCTATGCTTTTCTCTCTTGGTCCTGAACTAGAGGCGTCTAGTCAGGCCTGAGTGTAATGGAGCACCCTCTTCCACAGTGACACGGGATCCTGGCACAGCAGGAAGCCAGGGCTAGGGTTGGGCAAGGTGACAGTTCTGTGGCTGGGACACTACACTTCTGTGTTCCTTTGAGTTATTCCTTTTAGTCCTTCCTGAGTGTCTTCATTTCCTAGGACTATTGTAACAAAGAATCACTAACTGGGTGGTTTAAACCAAGAGAAATTTATTGTTTCATAGTTGAGGAGGCCAGAAGTATGAGATCCAGCTTCTGGTGAGAAGGGCTTCTTTTGAAGGTTTTGCAGAAGAATCTGTTCCAGGCTCTCCATCCAGCTTCTGATGGCTGTTGGCGACCCTTGGTGTTCCTTGGCTTGTTAAAGCATCACTCCAATCTCTGCCTTTGATTTCGCATGGCATCCTTCCCCATGTCTCCTCTGTGCCCAAATTTCCCTCTCCTTTCTCTTATAGACCCCAGTCACTGGATTTAGGGCTCATTCTAATCCAGCATGACTATTCATCTTAACATGAATACATTTGTAAAGACTGTTTCCAAATAAGGCCACATTTACAGGTAGTGGAGATTAGGACATGAAGATAAGATTTTTGGGGGACTGATTCAATCCACTACACTGAGTTTTTCACAAAACTTTATCAGTCCTTCCACACACCAGTTGTGCTATGGAAAGTTAAATAAAGATATCCACATTTGGGCCTGAGTGGCACAGGGGAGAGCATTATCCTCTGACCCCAGCTTGGTGGATGTAGCCCTGATTTATGGGAGTCCCGAGGGAAAGGTGACTTCAAAGGAGGAAGGGTAGGAATTTTAAGACCAAGTCTTCAGGAGATTCTCCCTTTCCTGCTGTCTTTGAATAATCTCAGTGTTATTCTCTGGGATGCTGGTTGATTGTAGGTTTATTTAACAACTGCATTTTCAAACTGGAAGAAGTTAGCAAGATGAAACAGGAGTAAGCCACTAAAGAGAATTCTCAGTGAGCATTCATATGCTGGAAATGCTGAAGAATCTTCTAGTAAATAAGTACTTTGGACTATTTAATCAGTGCTTCCCAAACTTGACTTCATCATGAAGCTCTTTTCCATAGGACAAGAGTATACTAATTATATACTCCTGTAAAATCTATTGCCCCAAAACTTAGTGGCTTAAACAAGAAAAGTCATCTCTCAGTTTCTGGGAGTCAGAAATTTGGGTGTGGCTTGGCTGAGCAGTTTTGACATGGTATCTTTCATGAGGCTGCAGTCACTGACAGCTTTACCGAAACAGGAGCATCTGTTCTCTAAATGTCTCATTCATGTGGCTGGAAAGTTGGTGCTGGCTCTTAACAGTACATCTCAGCTCTTTAATCTCCTGGACTTCTCCATAGGGCTACTTGAGTGTCCTCAGGACATAGCAGCTGGATTTCTCCAGCATGAGACATCCAAGAAGCTATAGTAGAAACTTTACAACCTAGATTTAGAAGTCACATAGTACCTCCTCCACTATATCCTGTTGGTGTTGCCAGCCCTGGTTCAGTGTGGCAACACCAGAAGGTGAGGGTAATATGAGGCCATCGAGGAGGCTGAGTGCCACAAATTTGACTGTTCATTCGTTTAGCAAATGTTGACTAGTGCCTCTTATGTGCCAGGCATTGTTCTAGACACTGAGAATACAGCAATCAGCACAACATACACATCCCTATCCTCATGGAGCTCATTCTAGTGTCACCTCACTTAACATCTGTTTGAGATAATTTAGAAAATGCTGCTTCACAGGGATTTAGATCATTAAGTGAGTATTATGAATATAGAATGATAAATGCTTAGATGAGAGAACTCACATTACCAAGGGAACCAGGGCTCCTAGGACTAGGCTTAGGGGATGGTCAGGGATGATTTCCCGGAATAGGTAACTATATAGTAAGTCAAGCAAAGGAGGAGTAGTGATGAGGAAAGAGTGTTTCAGGAAGACTGGACAGCATGTACCACACCCCAAAGCTTGATATATTTGGGGAACTGAAAGTGGTTAAGTATGCCAGGAACAGAGCGTGTGTGTGTGTGTGTGTGTGTGTGTGTGTGTGTGTGTGAGAGAGAGAGAGAGAGAGAGAGAGAGAGAGAGAGAGAGAGAGAAATGGATAGATAGATGGATGTGGGGAAGTGAAGTGTTGAAAGAGGATACTAGATTCAGTGATATGTGGTGGGAGTGAAGGGACAGAAAAAAGTCAGTAATAAGAGTCCATGTTTCTGGCTTAGGTAGCACATGGGTGGGTAGAGAGAGGTGGTGCCAACCACAGTGATTGTGTAGAAAGAGGGGAATGGAGAGAAGAGAGGTTTATGAGGTTTATAAGATGAAAAAGTTTTCATGCTGAGGATGAGCTGCTTTGGGGGTTTCCAATTAGCAATTCTTCAACTGCTTTAGTAGAGTTGAACAAACCAGGAAATAAATTGTAGCTATTTTTCACTGTTTAGAGAAAAGCAGAGGACCTGAAGCCCAGGAAAGAGAGATGCAGACACCACACCTATAGAGAGGACAATTAAGTACCTAAGATTATCTGAGCTCACCGAGTGTGTGATCCAGAGAATGAGAAAGCTCAGAGCACCAACATGAGGAAGAGACATATTTAAGGGGTGACGAGAGAGAGAAGATGCCACAAAAGAGGATAGCTCATCTAGGGAGGTAGGAGGAAAACTAGGAGAGTGTGGGTAATGGGAAATTAGGGAAGGAGGAGGGAGGGACACATACAGATGGTAATTAGCTAGTGGTTGTAGACTTGATGAGGATTGTCTGGGACAGGTAAAAATAGAGTGATGAGAGATTGAAATGTGAGGAATTGAGACTTCCAAAGAGAAAAATATTTTTAAGAAATTGGTTCTTGGAAACATCATCAGTGTACTGTTATTGTAATATCCTCAGTGTCCAGTTTTTAGACAATGGGGAATGGTTAAATAAGTTTTAGTACCTTGACATGGAAGAAAATTATCCAGCTATTTAAAATGATGATGCCCTCATAAAAAATGGCATGGTTTCTTTTAAGAAGAAAGCTTATTTCAGGAGGAAGAAGAAAATATATGGAAAATGAACTGTTTAAGATACTTAAGGAATGTATCAATAGCTTAGCCATTTTTTTCTTTTCTTTTTGGTATAGGGGGTTGAATCCAGGAGCACTTAATTACTGAACCACATTCCCAGCCCCTTTATATATATATTTAAATATTTTTCTTTAATTGTATATGGATACAATGTCTTTATTTTATTTATTTTTAGGTGTTGCTGAGGATCGGACTCAGTGCTTCACACATGCTAGGCAAGCACTCTACCACTGAGCTACAACCCCAGACCCCTTTTTTATATTTTATTTAGAGACAGGGTATACACTGAGTTGCTTATGGCCTTGCTAAGATGCTGAGGCTGGCTTTGAACTCACAATCCTCCTGCTTCAGCCTCCCTAGCTGCTCAGATTATAGGAATGTGCCACCATGCCCAGATAGCAATGGCGGATGGTATTGTCTGGTAAGCTTATGTTTAATGTTTTATTCTTGTAACATTAAACATAGGCTTACCAGACAATACCATCAGCAATATCTCCTTTAGATATTTTCCCCAGTTAATCAAGAATTTACACTCACACAGAAGATTGTTCTCAAAGATTTATAGATTTATAGTTTTACTCACAATCACTGAAAACTAAAAACAATCAAGATGTTCTTCTGTTAATAAGCAGAAAACCTGTGGTATATCCATATAATGGAACATTATTTAGCAATAAAAAATGAATAGATTTGCTGGGCATGGAGGCACATACCTATAATCCCAGTTACTTGGAAGGCCGATTCAGGAAGATCATGAGTTTAAGTCCAGCCTCAGCAACTTAGCAAGACCCTGTCTCTAAATAAAATAAAAAGGGCTGGAGATGTAGCTTGGAGGTAGAATGCTTCTGGTTTCAACCCCCAGTACCACACACACACACACACACACACACACAAATGAACTATTGAATCATAAAAACAAAATAGATATATTAAATATGGAAATATCCAAGATTGAATGGTCACAATTGGTGTGGTTTTATTATATGTCATTCTTGAAAAGGGAAAATGATAGAAAATAGATCAGTGGTTTTTCAGGGAAGTAGTTAGGGAACAGTAAGTGGTTGACCACAAATGGACAGCACATGGGAACTTGTAGGGCAATAGATCGGTTCTGTAAGGTACCAGAGTAATGAACACAAGACTAAGAAACTGTTGAAACCCACAGAACTCTATAAAGACTGAACTTAACAGTATATAGAATCATTCAATTCCAGGATAAAATTAACATTTAACATATGTAACATGTGAATCTAACTATACCACATATATGGAACTATATATATGGCTGATGGTATTGTCTGGTGGGAGGAGTTGAAATAAATAATTTTGGAAGACAATGTTTTAACCAGATACTGTAGGAATAAAGACTCATAAGTAAACAATTGTAAATTTGTCCTGGGTTATAGGTAGTGATAATGAAATTACTTTATGTGTATACTGGTGTTGAATAAATAAGTAGGTAAATTGTATACAATGGGAGGCAAGTTTCTCACTGTCAGAGAAAGAGGGAGGTTGTTATGGTGGTGGGATGGGGAGGCTAGAAGGAAACCTGTGTAGCTGGTTTTGAGTTGTAGACATCAGTATGAGCTCATGTTCCCTTTAAATACAGACATACGCACATGATATTATACGTGTAATAGATTTAAATAGACACAGATCTGTATACATAGATTTATAATCCACAGATTCTATATATGTGGGTGTATGTGTGTATATGCACATTCAAACAGATGCAGAGATAAATATAGATATGTTGTACTCTGTGTGTGTGTGTGTGTGTGTATTTAGTTTTGCTAGCTTTGTCTGCCATGAGGGCCTGATATAAGTGTCACGCTCCATTAGCATCAGGCACACTTAACACTTCAGACCTTGGTTTCCCAATAAAATGGACTAAGCTTCCTTGGAAAAGTGGCTAATTCGTGAACTGGGGCAGTGCTATGGTTTGTATATGGTTTAGGTGTGTTTCCCAAAGCTCATGTGTTAGAGACTTTGTCCTCAGTGTGGGTGATGTGGAATCTTTTAGAAGTGGGTCCTAGTGGGAGGCTCTCAACGGGGACATGTCCTCTAATGGGACTGTGGGGCCCAACCTTTCTGATCTCCTGTTTCGAGGCCTGCCCTCTCAAGTGTGTTGTTACCATGAGGTCTTACCAGAGGCTGGACCAGCTGATCTTGGACTTTAGACCTCCCAAACTATAAGCTAAATGAACTTGTTTCTTTACAAAACTATTTCATAATAGTAACAAAAGATGGACTACTAGAGGCAGGGAACATACAAGATGATCCTGAAGCAACTTGAAGTACCATAAAATAAGAAAATACTAAAAAAAGAAAAAAAAAGGGGAGGGGAGCATATAAAAAGGCCACATGAGCCAAAATGAAGGAGCTCCCAATGGCCAAGCTGAAACAATTAAAGCAGTGTAATAAACAATAATAATATTGAATTATAACTCTAAGAATAAAATAGATGTTTATAAATCCATATGGATATAAATAAATGATTAAATACATAACTAAATGGGGGAGGAGGGACAAATCTTCCTTGCAGAAGAATTCAGAAGTCAATGTAGAAGGCATGAAGGAAGTAGAAAATCACTGTTAGGCCATCACAATCATGATTGCTATAAGCAAGATTCATTGATGAATGCTAGATCAGTAAATGAAGCTTTAAGGAAGAACAGGATATTTGAAAAACCCTCAACGGTCTACCCTACACCTACTACTTACTGGGTGATTTTAACACACTGCATAAATTATTTGATACCCCTTTCTCCAGGAGGTGGAAATTAATTTCTCTTGCTTCTCATAAACAGAGTATGGGAAGGGAATATATCAAATTTTCAGTACAGAAACCTCACAAACGGTGCCTTACTGAGATAGATGGTCAAGGTTAACATCATGGGCAATGAGTTATGCTGACATCACGTGCCTCCTGATGTGCCTTAATGAGAAGGGCACATCACCTCTGTGGCCCTCTTCCCCAAATCCATAAACTTAGTCTTTTCATGAAAAAAACATCAGACAAACCCCACCTGGGGGGACATTCTATTAAACACCTAACCCTGAATCTTGAAAAGCATTGGGATTTTAGCTTTTGTTATGTGAGAAGATCTGAGTATACATCTCTGTTGAAGGGAAGCAGCCCACAAGAGAGAGAAGCTGGGGCTCTGGCAGGGGGCAGAGCAAGCCGTTCTAAAGCCTTGGATCTGTGACACTAGCCCCACGTCTGCTGTGCACAGACCTTCGCCTGGGAGGGTGCAGCCCCGTGTCTGTTTGCACGTGTCGTGTCACAGGATGCAGAGTTTTCGCAGCACAGTAAATCTCCTTGGTTTCTTTCCTTCCCTCCAGCCAGGCAGTTGCTGGCGGCGGCAGGGGAATCTGGAGGGGAGAGACCCCTTCTTCCCAGTGGGACCTGGCTCAGCTTCAAGTCCTGCTTGGTGGGTTCCTGTGCTGGGTGTTGCCCCTCTCCCCCTAGACTGCCTCAGAGGTTATCACCCAGATAGGTGCTAGGAAGGTGACTGACACCAGGCGGCAGCAGTGACAAGGTGGAGGAGGGGTAGGCAGTGAAACAGCATCTGAGAAAGATGAGAAAAAGAAACTCTCTGTTCCTGTGTGAACTTCACAGTCCATGTCATGTCCTCCTGCATTTTCTCAGACCACCCACGCAGAGTGGTTCCTCTTTCTCAGAATCATTAGTCTTTTGGCCCTTAATAAGCATAGATTTGCATCATTAATTGTATTTTTAGGGAAGTCTCCCGGTTTCCTCTGCTAGTTTCAAAGTCCTGAAGAGCAGAGGCAGGGCTTATGACTTTGTACCTCCTTGTGCAGCTAATCACAAAAGCTGCCACTGTTGTGATGCGCAGTAGGGGAGTGCTTTACGTGTTCTGACTGAAATGCTGCCATTCCAAAGCAAGACTAAGGCAGTGGCAGAAGGACATAACACTTAAGGAAGATTCACTCTGTTCCAGCCACCTCAACAAGCCCTTTACATCCATAGCTCATCTCATTTAATTGTCTCCCAAAGATCTTGGGCAGTTGGTCTCCAAGATGAGGAAACTGAGGCACAGAGGACTTAAGTAAAGTCTGGAGTCACACAGTTTGCTAAGGACAGAACTGGGATTTGAAGCCCTATCTCCTAACTCCAGGTTCAATGACCCCTTTCACCACATTGCAGCTGATTCCTTATCACATGGGTGAAATCAAATTAAAAGTAAACATCCAGGGCAGCCTTCAAATGAGGCAGTCAGACAGCCCAGAGAATGAACTTCAGACTTTTAATCAAAGGTCCTAGGATTCATGCTTCTGTTTGGATACTGTTTATTTTCCCTCTTGGGGTTGCCAGATACAGGATAACCAATTCCAACCACCCAGGCCTTACCTAAAAAGACTGAGTGAGAGAAGGGGAATAGTGACTGGGTGTATGTAGAATAGGGGTAGAATTTGCTTTTAGTCTCCACTGACCCCTTCCCCAGCTCCATTCACATGTGTGATGGAATAGAACATAAAAGGTTTTTCAAGGCAGAGGAGATAAATTTCAATTCCATTTTGGGTTGTTTTTGTATTGTTTTCTTTATTCTGAAAATTCTATCACATCCTGACTTAACATCCCATTAGCTACTGCTCATAGTCTTGCCTGGTTTGGTAGTTTCCCAATTTGGGGTGGATCTTATTATACCTCACTTCGTGTCTACATCAGGAACCCCCATGGTCTCTTGGAGGCTGTATTTGGTTAGGATGACCTTCTCTTTTTCTTCTCAGATCTAGCCCACTGTCACCAAAATTCCCATCTACTCAATTAGCCATCCATTTTGTCATTCAATTAGAACTACTACTTAATTGAACAGACTGTCTTTTTATGAGGATTTGTGGTTGTTTAACTTCATGTGTCCACTTGACTGGGCCAAGGATGCCCAGATAGCTGCTAAAATGTTTCTGGGTGCCTCTATTTGTGAGGGTGTATCTGGAAGAGATTAACATTTGAATCAAGAGAGTGGCTAATGAAAATCTGCTCTCATCAATGTGGGTGGCCATAACCTAATCCATGGAGGACCTGAAAAGAACAAAAGGGGAAGGTAGAGCAAATTCTCTGTTTCAGCCAGGACCCACCTTCTTCTGCCCTCAGACATCAGAGCTCCTGGTTCTTGATTCTTGGAACTTGGCCTGTATGACACCACTGGCTTTCCTGGTTCTCCAGCTTGCAGATGGGAGATCATGGGACTGCTTAGTCTCCATAATGACGTGTGCTGATTCCCATGAAAAGTTTCAGTAGCTGCCTCTCTCTCTCTCTTTCTCCCTCTCATCTCTATCTTCTATTGATTTTGGTTTTTGGAGAACTCTAATACAGGATTATAGAACTGCAGGGGGAAATATTGATCTCTGTTGGCATCAGAAAGGCATGTGAGTCAATCCCCTATCCTTAAAGATGTTGTCGCTTGTCCTCAGTGTCATGTGGCTACATTAGTTTGTTCACAAAGGATTTATTCAATATTAAGTTACCAGCCAATGATAGGCACTGGGGATACGAAAATCAATAAGATCACTTCCTGTCCTCGAGGGGTTCACACTCGAGAGGTAACTAGCTGGCCATGTGAGGCATTTGTTTGGTTGTCAAGGTGTTTTAATGATTTCTCTGTTATTTATTGCTATGTAATAAGTCATCTCAACTCAGTGGCTTAACACAATAATGACTGACTTTTCCTCACAGTTTTGTGTTTTTTCCTGGTGGTTCTTTTCTGATATCACCTGGGCACACTCGTTCAGCTGCATTCACTGGGCAGCTATTTGGTCCTAGCTTCCACATCAGAGGCCTCAGCTGGGTCAGCTGGTAAGGCTGACTGGGATGACTTTGCTTTTCTGTGACTATGTGACCTCTTTCACATAGGGTCTCATCCTCTTTCGAGCTATCCTGGGCTCCTTTTACATGAAGACAGAGAATTCTGAGAGGGTCAAAACCAAAGCTGCAAGGTCTCTTGGGGTCTTGGTTCAAAGTTGCAAATATTACTCCCTATGAGTGTGCAGAATCATAGACTTCACTTGAGGGGAATCAGCAACATCACATTGCAAAGGGTGTACACACAGGGATGGAAGGAATGTGTGGCCATGTTTTGCAGTCTACTATAGTTGTTAACTTGAAAACAAAATTAGATTTCTAATACATATCAGGTTTATTCTGTTTTCCTTAAAAATGGGGACACATGGCAACAAACCTCTGGAGCTGAGTCGTTGCTAGCCCATTTAGACTGGACATTTCACTTCTAGCTCATCACAGAACCCAATACTCTTTAAAAGAAGTTGAGATTTTTAGTTTGGATGTATGTCAGAACTGATATTCAATTGCCATCACCAAACGGGCTCTATGGATGATGGTATTGGAAAACCACTGCTGGAGTTATTGAATATGTTTGAGAAATACAGAGAAAGTGATGCTTTTCAATTAACCAGGGTCTGGATTCAGGGTGGATGGGATGAGGAAGATGGGTGGCTATCAGACCAGTTTAAATGTTGTTTTGCACTTCGCTGGGCAAGGGTGATGTCTGTGGCACCTTGACCAAATAAACTTCCAAAGATGAGGACAGATTTCTTGTCAGACAAGGAGAATCTGCCAGAGAACTAGTGAACCTCTCATGCACAACAATTATCCAATGGTGCCACTTTCCTCTGAGAAACTGTATAGGCTCCCCATACCTGTGAGTCTCAGTGTTAATTCCTTGCTATATTAAGAACAAACAAGAAGGCCCTAATGCAAGCTGTTGACTGGTTGATAATGACATGTCAATGTTGGTTTACCTATGGTAACAAAAGTATCACAATGGAGCAGGTTGTGAGAGTCCAGGAAGCAGCACCCATGCTGGGGCAGAAGGCATATGCAACTCAGCTTGGCTGTGGACATAAAACTACTCTAAAAATAAAGTCTGTGGGGCTGGGAGGGGCATTTGTGAGGTAAATTTAGGAAACACAGGTAAACAAAGTTTTTTTTTTTTTTTTTAACTGCAGGACTTAATAGCACCACTTTACATTTATAACACTTAATGCAGTTATAATGAAATAATTACATACTCACTAACATTTCAACTCCAGATATAGGCTCTGTCAGAGCAGTGCCCACAATAGAGATTGGCACATGCTTGGCACTCAGTACATAGATACTCACCCCAAAAGTCCTTTCTACTCATCCTCAAAGCCCCAGTCCAGCACCCATAGTACTTTTACAAATTGGGCCTTATGGTTTTTTGCACCAACTATCTAAAGAACACTGTTGCCTCATAGCAGTAAATAGGGAGCAAATATAGGAGCCATTAGAATCCTCTGATGTCCTGGGCAGCCAGGAAGTAGATCTTTATGAGCCTGACCTTAGGCTTGTTCTAGGAAGGGCTAGAAATATGCAAGGGCAGAAGCAAGGCAGAAATCACTGAATTAATGTGATGTCAGGGACAGAGACATTCATTGTCAGCGCAGGCCAAGAAAAATAGTAATTCTAAAGTCATAATGATGGTGTCTATTTCAGAAATGAGTCCTGGAGAGGTGAAAATAGTACCTTTATGTTAGTTAAAACTTTTTTTTTCTCCCCCCATTGTTGGGGATGGAACTCAGGACCTGGTGCACGTTACATCCCTAGCCCTTTTTAATTTTTGTTCTGAGACAGGGTCTTGTTAAGTTGCCTGTGCTGCCTCAAACTTATGATCCTCCTGCCTTAGCCTCTAAGTATCTGGAATTATAGCATGCAACACCATGCCCAGCTGGTTAGAACTTTTATTAATAGCAAAAGACAGAGTTTCTTCTTCAAGGATTGGCATATTTGTGTTAGTATTTAAAAATTAAAATATTTAAAAATTATAAAGGCAGTACCTGCTTATCAAAAAAATTTAAAAAAGAAAAAATGGAAAGGACTCTGAAGCAAGAAAATCATGCCATATGTCTTGTCATCATTATATTTTTTGGCTTCATAATTTCCCAATGTATAGGCGCATAGTAACAATGGAGAACAACCTGAGTGTGCATAGCCTTTAATACATCAATTCTTGTAGAAACCTGTTCCCTGAAAACACTTGCGCTAGTGTGAAAGATTGTATTATAAGACTGTCCATAGTGAGTCGAGATAAATCTGTTAATTTGTGATGTAATTGAGGAGAGATGACACCAATACTTAGGTATAGGAAATTCTGACTTTGATGACTTTGTAGAGACCATTATCATATAGTGCATTTGTCTTTCCTACTTTTGCCAGGTGCAGTGGCTCATGTCTGTAATTTCAGCAATTTAGGAGGCCAAGGCCAGAGGATTGCAAGTTCAAGGCCAGCCAGGGCAATTTAGTGAGCCTGCCTCAAAATAAGAAATAAAAAGGGCTGGGGATATAACCCCAGTATTGGAGTATCCCTGGGTTCAATTCTTAGTACTGGGGAAAAAATGAAAAATTTCCCTTTAGGAAGACAAACAAGGGATTATCTGGCTACCTGTGAACTGGACCTCTGAGCTCTAAGCAAATAGGAAGGGCACTTCTGACAGTAGTTTTCTTTCTTCTCTTTTTCTTTTTAAATTAAAGGTAGAAGTTTGCCTGGTTTTCTGCATGTTTCTTTTAATTTTTGTAAAAAACATAGGCAAATCAAATTAAATTACATATTTAAAAAATTTTTTTTAGAAAATATACCATAAATACCCTAAACCCAGAAAAATAGAATGGTACTTAAAAAATTATTAATTGCATGACAAGCAGTTTGTGACCCCTACCTTTGTGTGGCCATCCCAGGTGAGGTAGTACAGTGGGCAGTTAAAGATATTTCTGAAAAGCATTTCAGCGCAGGTTGGCAAGCAGTAACTTAACTGTGCCTGGAGGTTACTGCAGGCCACATGAGTACATTCCACTAAACCTACAGTTAATGAGTCTCAACATACCTTTTCTTTTGGGGCTGGGGATATAGCTTATTGATAGAGTGCTTGCCGTGCATGCACAAGGCCCTGGTTTCAATCCTCAGCACCACACAAAATAATAATAATAATAATAATAATAATAATAATAATAATAATAATAATACCTTCCCTTTTACAAAGTCCCCAAAATGCCCACTGCTGCTCCAGTGCCACTAGACGCAAGGGGAGCTATGACAGGGGAACTCAGAAAGGAAAGATTTAGTGGTCTTAAAAAAAAAAAGAGAACTATGGTTAAAAAAATTATTATTATTACCATCATTTAAAATTTTTTTTGTAGTTGTAGATGGACAGCATGCCTTTATTTCATTTGTTTATTTTTATGTGGTGCTAAGGATTGAACCTAGTGCCTCACACGTGCTAGGCAAGCACTCTGCCTCTGAGCTACAACCCCAGCCCTTATTATTATTATTATTTTGCAAATTAACAACAACAAACCCAGGATCATGCACCCCATTGGGGCCCCTCCCAGGACTTTGGCAGGGACCTGTGCAAGAGAGGGCCCTGCAGCTTCAGCTTTCTTAATGACACTGTCACTATGCCTATGGGTGTGAGTGCTGGGTGCTGGGTGGTGGCGGGGCAGCCAGCAGCTGGACAGTTCCCTCCAGTCCTCCTTCCTTGCACTTGACTTCCTCAAATTCACCTATATATGTTTTGGAGCTACTTCCCTATTAGCATGAAGAGAGAGCCTAAATCTATTCTCTACTTTTTCTGAATGATGGCATTCCATTGTATGCACACTGGCATTTAGATCATTTTCTATCCTCTATAACTATGCTGAAAAGAACATTCTTGTTCAGATTTTTTTTTTTTAAGTTTTGTAGTAGGGATTCACCCCAGGGGCACTGTACCATTGACCTGCATTCCCAGACATTTTACTTTTTTATTTAAAGACAGTGTCTGCTAAATTGCCAAGGATGGTCTTGAACCTGTGATACTCCTACCTCAGCCTACTGAGTCACTGAGATTACAGGCATGTGCCTGGCTCAGATATATTTTAGCACTGGTGAGAATATGTCTATAAAATAAATTCTTAGAAGTGTGATTGCTGGGTCATAGAGGATGTCTAGTTAAAATTTTGAAAGATATTGTCAACTGCTGTCTTTGGAGGTTGGGAGAACATGTCAGCAGGAATGAGAATGGTTAAGACTGTGTGTTAGAAAATGTTGCTGATTCTTGCCACTCTGTAGGTGAAAAATAATATCTTGCTAACGTTTTAACTTGTGTTTCTGTTATTAAGGGAAAAGTAGAGCAACTTTTCATATTTTAGAAGTGTGTGTGAGAGAGAATTTTTTTTTTCCAGAGCTGGGGATTGAACCCAGAGCCTTGCACATATTAAGCAAGTACTACCACTGAGCTGCATCCCCAGCATCACAGCCCTGTCTTTCCCCTGCTTTTTTTTTTTTTTTCCACACTGGCTTTATTCTTTGTCCATCTTACTATTGAGTTAGTCTTTTTTAAATTTATTTGTAAGAGTTGTTCAGACATTAAGAAAATTTGTCTATTATATAATTGACAAATATATTTTCCCAGTTTGTCATTTGTCTGTTGATTCTGTTTATGATGTTTATATTCCCATGGGAAAATTCTGTTTACATAACTGAATGTGAAATAACATGATCTTTGACTTATGATAGTTCCACTTGTGATTTTTTTGATGTTGTGATAGTGCAAAAATATTATGCATTAATTAGAAACCGTATTTCAAAATTTGATTTTTATCCTGGCTAGCGATATGTGTGGTACAATACTCTCTCATAGTGATATGAGCAAGATCACGAGGGCAAACAACCGACTCTATCATAAACTGTGTTGCTAAGCTATATGTTCAGTAGGTTAGGTGCATTCAGTACACTTTTGGCTTATGATATTTTCAATTTATATGGACTTATTGTGATGTAACTTCATTATAAGTGAAGGAGCATCAATAGTTGGGTGTGGTGGGACCTGCAGCTCAGGAGGCTGAGGCAGGAGGATCACAAGTTCAAGGCCAGCCTCAGCAAGTTAGTGAGGCCCTAAGCAGTGAGACCCTGTCTCTAAATAAAATATAAAAAGGGCTGGTGAATGTGGCTCAGTGGTTAAGTGTACCTGAGTTCAATTTTCAGTATTTAAAAAAAAAAAAAGAGCATCAGTATAAAAAGTCCCTCATGATTTGTTGTAGTACTTTTATGATTTCATTTTTAAGTATTTACCCTTCAGGAATTTGTTTTGGTATGTTGTCAGGTATGGCTATTTTATTTTATCTCAGAAGGCTATAGCCATCAAGATAATTTATTGTAAAATATATCATTATCTCCAGTGATTGAAAGATCATCTTTGCCATTATACATTTAAGTCTATCGTTGGTCTTATTTTCTAGATTTTTGAGTCTGTTTCATTAAAACAGTCTGTCTATTCATGAACCAGCTGTTCACAGTAGTTTTTTTTAATGTTTTGATTTTGGATGTGTAGCCTCCAGAACTGTGAGAGAATAAACTTCTGTTGTTGTAAGCCAGTCTGTGATAATTTGTTACAGCAGTATAACAGGAAACTACCAGGAAACAGATTTGGTGGTAAAGCTACGTTCTGAATGGATATGCAGAGATATTTATCTCTGTTGTTAAGAGTATTTGTGAGGAGAAGTGGAGAGGTTGTCCATATAACTCAATAGCCTGTGGGATGTTAAGGGATGAAGGGGTGAGCTTTGTGTTCTGTGTACTCTTCACTCTCTCCACTGTCTGTGTCCAGGAGGCTGACCTCCTAGGACTGCCTCCACCCAACTTCTTGCCATTTGCTTCTTCTTGGGTTTGGCCAATGCCAAGCATTAGCAAGTAATTGGAAGGTGGCTCCCTCCACATGGGGTCCTAGGTACATATCTATGCCTAAACTCCTAGCTCTGGTCTTGTGACCTTCTGCAGATTCAGTTCTTGTTATTGGTTGGCTGCAGCACCCATTCTTGTCTTTTCCCTTTCAAATCTCCAGATGGTAAGAGCTTCCCACTGATACTAGCCCCAGAACACTACACCAGTCTCTTACTCATTTTCCCCAACTCTGCCCACATCCCCTCAAAAGACCTATACTTTAAACTTCCTTCAGAACTCCCTTTTGAACATACCAGGTGTTTCTACCCAGATCTTAATCAATCTGGGGGAACCACCATTTTGAGTGACATACAAAGCAGTAACTCCAGCCTTCTGGGCTCTTGCTTCCACCTGCTCATTTGGAATCAACTTAACAATCCTGACAATTAAGGGAAGCCACTTCTGCTCTGATGGGAGTCCGAGCCCCCTAGGAATGAAAGCTGCTGAGGAACTATGGAAATCTAGGAGAAGCCTGTCTTCTTTTCTGGGTTACTCCCACATAAATTCCCAAGCAGGGCTGCCTGTATCCCAGGGGTTTCCACCCCATCCAGGAACTTAGATAGGTGTGAACCTGAACTGCTAGGTATTTGAGTGACAGAACTGCTCCTCCCTCTGGAGCTTTAGAGGGATAGGATCATTCACCCCATCAAGCTTACAGGGCAGGTACCTCCTTTAATTGAGATGAGCTTTCTCCTTGGAGGCCTCTCATTTCTCATTTTAAACAGACTCCTGGCAGGGTGAGCTCCCTGTTGCCAGACATGCCTAGACATATCTAATTCTACTTACACTTGGGCTGGGATCCTTCTAGACAATGTTGGGAAGGTAGATTTGGCCCTTGCTGCAGAAGGCCTCCAATCAAACAAGTTTTAACCTAATATTGTAGTTCAAAAATCACTGAATGGAATATATTTGAGCTGGGGAGAGACTTGGATCAAAAATTGTTAAAGAGTTTAGCTTCTTGCTTTCCCTCTAGCTGAGAGGTGCCCAGAGAGGTGCCATCAAGGCACTCTCTACCTGTTTTATTTCCAGTAGAGTATTTATCATTCCCTGAAATCACACTGTTTCCTTTTTCTTCCTTTCCCTAATTCCATAAGGGCAAGGAGATACTCTGAGGGCCTGGCTCTTAGTAGATAATCAATAAATAGGTGTTGAAATTGTTGAATCAGGGGATTGAGGCTGTAGCTCAGTGGTAAAGTGCTTGCCTTGCATATGTGAGGCACTAGGTTCAATCCTCAGTACCACATAAAAATAAATAAAGATACTGTGTGTTTATCTACAACTAAATAAATATTTTTAAAAAAAAAAGAAATTGTTGAATCAACTTGGTGTAATGAATGAATGCAGATGAGGAAGCCTGGAGCAGGCAAGGGATACAGTGACTTGTTTAAGGGTTCACAACTCATTACTGGCAAAACTGGGTGAAAACCAGGCTCTCTGGCCATATTCACTGCATATACATGAACAGGCAGGAGGTGGGAGTGAGTTTGTAGAAAGGGTGAGGAAAGGAGGAGGGGATTTCTGGGAAGTTATAATGATTATGGACCAGACTTGAGATAGGGAAGAAGAGACAACATCTAGGAAAGGAAAATTAATACTTGTTGGGCACCTACTCTGTGCTAGGCACTATGCCAGATGCTTTACCTGTGTGGTGTGATTTATACCTCTGCTGTAGGAATCATTATCCCCATTTATTTAAATTTTCTTTTTTAGTTGTAGATGAACACAATATCTTTATTTATTCATTTTTATGTGGTGCTGAGGATCGAACCCAGTGCCTCACACATGCAAGGCAAGCGCTCTACCACTGAGCCCCAGGCCCAGCCCCATTATCCCCATTTTTATAAACTAAGGAAACAGAGGCACAGGAGTTTAATTTGCCTTCTTTTACCCATTTATGAAGTATCTAATGCCTAAGTTTGACCTCTTCCCTTCTTCCACATGGCCTTATTGGACATAGGATTAAATCTGGGGGTTTTCCTGAATGATGGCCACTGTGCCTGGGAAGTGGGAAGGGGAATACAAGAATGAAGCATTCATTCAGAGGAGCAGGGTGTGTGGCTCTTATCTTGGTTAGGAGAGAAACAGAAGCACAATAAGGCAGGGCCTCTTTGACACAGAGCACAATTAGGGATGGGAAGGGTAGAGAGCATTAGAGATCAACCCTAAGGTTCTTTGCCACTTGAGAGGCAAGACCAGGAGTCAGTTAGCTAGAGCTAACACAGATCACCTTTTCCCTCTCTGAGTTCCAATCTGGGGACCAGAACTGGGGGTGGCGTGTGGTGGGCTAATTCAAGTCCCAACTAGGAGTAGCCTAAGCTCCTCCCCAGTCCCAGTTGGGCCCCTTGCCTGTACAGACACATGGATAGCCCTGCAGCCCAGATGTTCCAGGGCAGGCCTAATTTAAAATCCACGTTGCTTTGTCCCCATAGGCACACTTGTGCCTATCTGACCCTGGCTCTTGATTTTGGTTTGGAAAGTAAGTTCTCTGTGTTCCAAATGCAGACCCTGCCTCCACATCACTGGGTTCTTGTCAGGGCACAGGTCTGTATAAGGTATTCTTTGTGCCTGTGGGACCTGAGTTTTGAAGGTGGCCCCCAGTCCAGGTCTAGTCCCAGACCACTTATGTCAGCTGGCTGGCAGGCCGCTGTAGGTCAAGGGTGAAAGGAGACCTCGGGAGGTTATGCTACCAATCAGATCCTCCCTGTCACTCCCCTCACAGCATAACTCATACTTGCTAAAAAGGGCTTTCATAAACAACTCAAGTCTGAAAACTCCGGCAGCTCCCCCTGCCCCTCTAGCCCTGGGGGGCTTCAGGAGGCTCTGGGCTGTCCGCCAGCCCCAGGCTGGCCCATTCTTGAGTGGGGGTGGGGAGTCAGTGCTATTCCCCTTTCCTTCCTGCTTGGTCTCCAGCCCAGAGTTTCCTCAGTCCCCAGCCTCCCGGGGCTCCCCACCCTGAACTCCCTTAACCCTTTCCTCCACGGGAAGGGTGGCTGCAGTGCCTGTTCTCTGTGGAAGCCTGGGTGGCCCTGGGGGTAGAGGGGAGGAGGTAGCCCAGTTTCAAATCTCAAGAAAGGGTCCTTTAGACCAACTCTTCCCTCCTCTTTCCTTCCACAAGGGAAAGGGGAATGTGGAAGGAAATTAACTTTGACCCCTGGATTCTGGCTCTGGGCCCCAAACTAGGATTGAAGGCAGAGGTTTTCAGGACCCTCCCCGCCCCCTTCCTCCGGTCCTCTCTCTCCCTCCCTCCCTCCCTCGGCTTCCCGCGCCCCTTTAAGCGACCCAGCAGACGGAGAGTTTATCCAGAAGGGACTGGCAGAGTGGTGGAGGGGGAAAGCGGAGGGGAGGGGGCGGGGGGAGGAGGGAAGGGCGGCGGGAGCCTGGCCGGTCCCACCCCCAGCTACAACCCCTGGCAGGAAGAGCCTGTCGCTGGAGCAGCCGCAGAGAGGGACGGAGTTCGGGAGGGCGGGCGTCTGAGCGGTGGCGGGTGGGTCCCAGGGCTTGGAAGGCCGAGGCGGTGGCGGGGGGCGCGCCGCAGGGAGGGGGCGTGGCTTAGGTTCCTCGGGCTGGGGGCTGGGGCGCCTCCGGTGCTGGGACCCCGGTGACACTGTCGTTTCCCTCTTTCTAGGGAAGGGTTGAGCAGCCATGCTCTTGTCTGGGGGTGACCCCCCGACTCAGGAATGGTTCATGGTGCAGACAAAATCGAAGCCTCGGGTGCAGAGGCAGCGGCTGCAAGTGCAGCGCATCTTCAGGGTCAAGCTGAACGCCTTCCAGAGCCGCCCCGACACCCCCTATTTCTGGCTGCAACTTGAGGGGCCCCGGGAGAACACCGGCAAAGCCAAGGTAAACAGCTTCTCTCCACGCCCCACCCGTCCCATCCAGCCAGATCCCTTCCTCCCCCACCCAGGGGAGAGGTGGTCCTCAGAGGTCTCCAGACCTAGGTCGGGCAGTTTGGCTTGCAGGTAATGGGCCATCTTCCAGTCTCTCCAGATCTGCAGCCCTGGCTCTTTCCCCATCCGCCTCTTCCCTCTAGTTCCTTCTTTCTTTTCTACCCCACCCGTCTCTTGCGTGTCACTTCTGTTCCTCAAGTGTGCTGGGAGAGCCGGCATGGTGTGACTCCTCACAGGCCTTCCCTGACCAGGTTCCAGCGTTCACTACCCTGCTTTTCCATCTGGGGAGCAATTTAAGGCTCTGCATTTTTGTGGCCTCTGCAACACACCTCTTTGTTCTCCACCAAGACCCTGGAAGGCCTACATTCCTGTCTCCTTAAATACTTGGGGTGCCCTGGGATTGCTGGAACTAAAGGGGGCCCTTCCAGATACTTTTGGAGCATTGTTGGCATTTTACAGATCAGACATTGGGAATCAGAGGTCAAGGGGCCTGCCGGAGTCCTCAGGGTCAAGTAGGTGTGGGATGGTGGGGGTTAGACCAGAACACAGGACTCTGGTTTCCCTGGTTCATACTCTGGTGTCCCAGGCAGCCTCTTGTAGGGCTCAGGGTGATATGTAACTGCTCTGGGACACTAAACCTTGGGGGTGGGAGGGGATTGGGAGAACTGCGGGCATTTGAATGAAAGCGGCTGCTGTGTGGGGTTGGATGTAGGACAGGCCAGGTCACAGCTTGTCTCTCTTGCAGTCTCCCTGGCTTCTCTCACAAGTTTCTCCTCTCCTTTCCCATCCTCTGATTGTGGCCAATGTCTCCTTCTTTACTCAGATTCTCTTACCTTATCTCATCCTGGTAGGACTGTTACCTGCTCCCTTTGCTTCAGATCACCTCCCAGCAGACACCCACACCTGCATGCAAGTGGGTCTTTCCCAATAACCAATTAGTCAAGGCTTTGGGTAGGGAAGGCCCAAAGCAGTCAGCTGGAGGGCAGGCAGGCTGAGAAGTTCCTCCCTCTGCCCCTTAGTTGAGCTGCTGTGTCAGCAGTTCTTCCAATTTAGACAGAGGTGCTGGGGGAGGAGAAGGTTTTCAATTCTGACAGTGGTACTGGGGGAGGGGAAGGTTTTTTCAAGACGAGGTGCTGGAAAAGGGGATGGATGTCTGCCCCAACAACAGATGTGCAGGAGCCCCTGAGAGTAAGAAGTGTTGGAAGCTGGGATGGGGTAGGTTAACAAGAGAAGTTTGGGTTCCTAATCTTTTTTGTTACTTTGAAATACACAGCTCACCCTTTTATGGGGTTGCACTTTCTGAGAAGCTGTGTTCCCTTCTGCTTGCTTAAATCCTGGGTTGGCTTCTCCAGGCCTGTCAGCTCTAGCTCTCACTGCTTCCTCAGGGTCCTTTGGGCCATAGGTTCTAACATCCCAGACTCTCACTCCAAAACCATGTTAAATGAATCCAGTGGCTCCCTTAACCACCCTCCCTTTGCAAGGCACTGTTGAAGGTGAGAATGTAGTGTGAATAACTCTCTTCTTTACTGCACAGATGAGTGGAGAAGAAACTCTGGGGGAAGGAGAACAGAGAAGATGGGGAGGATAAGATTTTGTCTTAAGGGTTAGGAGATCTGGGTTTGATGTGCTGTCACCATATTATAGCCAGATAGAGGAGTGTGGTGCAGAGAATTTGAGTTCCGGTTTGCTATCTCCTCATTGAGCTACCTGGTCAAATAATATGCTCCCTTTGAGCCTTTTTCATTATCTATTTAACAGAATATAACACCCACTTCATGAAGTAGTTGTGAGTGTCACCTGAAATAATGTGTGCAAAATGAATTGTTCAAAATGCAAAATGCAGAGAGCTATGGAGATATATGTCATGTATTAACTAGCTGTAAAACTGAGCAAGTCCTTTTCCCTTCCGGGGTCTTTGTCTCCTTTGTAAAGTGAGAGGCTTGTATTAAATACTGTATGAATATTTCTCAAGTGTAAGGATGTCTTGTGATTTCCACAGGGAGATGGTGTGGCTGACCCCAATCCCAACTGCAGAGATGTGAAATTTTGACTTTGATAATGACCTTCCTGTACATAAGCCAACTGGTGTAGAGGACTTGTGAGACTGGAGGTTGCAGGATAGGGAGGGGTTGTGGGAGTGTGGATCTTGTCTGGGTCTGAGTGGAGGAGGGGTCAAGAAGTATATAGGATCATCTGGAGAAGGGCCTGGCCGGGGTGTGTTTTTACATTTTGTGCACTTGGGTTTCCAGGAAAATCTCTAAACTTGAGTGCCTTTAATTTTTTTTTTTTTAGTAGTGGAATTTAGAAAATATCAACGATGTTGCTGTAATCACATTTCCAGGCAGCAAAACAAACGCTGGGGAGGCCTGATTTCTCTTGGGTGAAATCAACAAGTGGAGAGGAGAGTTTTAATAATGTTTAGAAGAACCCAAGGACAAGCCCCTTTGCCCTCCTTGACAATAATGTGAGGATGGGTTGGTGGCAGAGAAGAAAAGTGGCATGTTTGCTTCTTTCCTTTTTAGGAGAGAATGGAGGGAGGTGGTGGGGAGCCCAAAGACCCCGGTAGTAGTAGAGGTGACTTTTGGAGGTGGTTCTAGAACTTCAGGACAGCATGAGGCTTGCCAACTCTGACTTGGTCATCAGATGATAGTTGATCTGTCCTGGTTCCATACTGTGAGCAGAACCATGGAAGTTGTTGGGGTCAGGGGAGTGCTGGACTTGGCTCCTACTGACCCATGGTCAAAATCTCAGGAACTTGGTAAGCCAGTGGAGGAGTATTTACAGCCATGGAGGGAGTATCTAACCATGGACATTGGCAAATGTACAAATCAGAGCTTACCCCCAGCTGATTGGGCAACATTTACCAGCACACCTGAGTTGTGAGCAACTAATTCCTCTTTTTCTTTAAAGTTTTTTTTTTAATCAAATAATATGTATTTAAAAAATCCAATAATTTGAAAAATATTTTACAAAGAACCTAGTGACTGCTCTGTCCATCCCAACTCCCTCTTTGGTGCCCTTCCCCATAGACATATCTGCTCTGGCATTTATGCATCTCCACTTCCTTTAAAAAAAAAGGACATAAACAAATAAACAATGTCATATTTTTACCAATTTTAGATGTTTTTATTTTTACTTCCAATTATTGCATGTGAGGATTTAATTCCCTTACACTGCATTCCCTTTATCTTCCCAATACAGTTGTTTCATTTTTTTCTCAAATCGATACTTACTATTTGCCTCCTTTTACCTATGCCCATATCATTCATATGTATGCATTGAAGTATATTATTTTTACTTTTGGGTTTCCCTGAAATTAAGAACTCCTTGTTTTTCAATTTGTTTGTTTTTCTTTGTGCCTATTACTAATTCTTACAAGGTGTTTTTTTTTAAGGTAAATGTGTTAGTAAGGTTTCCATCACTGTGACAAAATACCTGATATAATCAACTTACAAGGAGGAAATATTTATTTTGGCTCATAGTTTCAGAGGTTTCCATTCATAGTTGCTTTGCCCTATCGCTTTGGACCTTTGGCAGTGCAGTACATCATGTTGGGAGCACATGGTGGGGATAGCTTGTTTACCTCATGGTGACTGTGAAGCAAAGATAGAGAATGGTGGGGTCCTAATGTTGTCCTCAAGGGCATACTCCCAATGACTCCACTTCCTTCTCCTAGGCCTCACCAGCCAGAAGTTCAACCACCTCCTAACAGCTTCCAAGATGAGGACCAAGCCTTTAACATGGCCCTTTGGGGGACATTAGATATAGATCCAATCTATAGCAGTCAATCTATCCATTCAAGGTATTCATCTAATTCCATTTTTTTTTCTTTAACATCCTTTCTTCAGTTGCTTTCAAGGTTGGCAGCCTGTCATACTGAGACTTCAGTGTAGTGTTCTCTTTGGTGTCCCTTTGCCTTTTTTCCTTCACTCAATTCTTTGTTTACTGCACCACATGTCTTTCTCTTTCTTGGGTTGATGGAGTGCGTCCATCAGTAGTATCATTAGGTTCAAAATATGGTGCTGTGGCAAAGGGGATTCTGGTGACTGCTTTCAACATGCTTGTCTGTTGAGTCATACTCAATCTGAACTCATTGCTCTCTGTGATGACAATCATCATCCTGAAACAGTGAGTAGCATACAGTGAGTTGTCAGCAATGATTTGTTAAATGGATGAATAAACTCAGATTTCTCTTCACCATCATTCTGGAGATTGTCTTTGCTTCTTCCCTACATTGGATTTCCCTTCTTGATTTTCCTTCTTGATTTGTTTGAATTGTTCTGCAGTGGTGCTATGGTTTGAATATTCCCTCCAAAACTCAAGTTAAAATTTAGTCGCCATTATAATAGTATTAAGAGGTGGGGCCTTTAGATCATGAGGGCTGTGCTGTCAAGAATGGATTAATGCCATTATTGTGGGAGTGGGCGAGTTATCACAAGGTGGGCTTGCTATGAGTTTGGCTCCCTCTTGCTTCTTTCTTCATCTTGCCCTCCTGGTATGTTACAACATAGCACAGAGGTCCTTTCCAGATGCCAATACCATGTTCCCATATTTCTCAGCCTCCAGAACCAGTACCCAAATAAATTTCTGTTCATTATAAATTACCGGGTGTTTGGTATTCTGTTGTGGAAGTGGAAAACAGCAAACTAAGAGAAGTGGCTTCTTAAGAAAGATTTTATAGAGGAAAAATGTTGGGTTACATAACAGATAGGTTTCATATCTGAAGGTCTCTTGGTTGATGATTATTTCTGAATTATAAGTGTGAAATTATTTTCCTTCAGAACTGTGAAGGCATTACTCAATTGACATCTTGCTTTTGAGAAGTCTGAAGCTATTCTGGAGCCGGTCATAGTATGAGATGTTTTCCCTCTTCCCCCATGTTCTGAGGTCTCCCAGTGAGACTCCTTTGCATGAGGGTCTGTTTTCCTTTTCTTGGGTCTTTCTTTGCTGCTATTGTGTTTTTAATGTCTAACAGTTGCTTGTGTTCTCTCTTTTTAAAAGCACTGTCCTCTTCTTATTTAGTGTGTACCTCGTTTTTCTTTTTTTTTTTTTTTTTGCACTGGAAATTGAACCCAGGGATGCTTAACTACTAAGCCACATCCCCAGGTCCCCCCCACTTTTTTTTGTATTTTGTTTAGAGGTAAGGTCTTGCTGAGTTGCTTGGGGCCCCTCTAAGTTGCTGAAGCCAGCTTTGAACTTGTAGTCCTCCTGCCTCAGCCTCCCGGGCTGCTGGGATTACAGGTGTTCACCACTGTGTACCATATTCTTTAGTATCTCTCCAAGAAGAGTAATGAGAGTAAACTTTTTGAAGTTTTCCTCTCCCTGCCTATTTTCTCTTCTTTCAGTTGTTCTTTCTTCTTTATGTGTTGTTCTGTGTGTTTTGCATTAGACATTTTCCTTATATGCCTGGGAATCTTTGTTTAACTAATAGTGAAGGACAGAAAGCTGACTGGGAGCTGTGGCTGTGGAGAAGGCTTGTTGATTTGGAGCTTGATGGTACAATTGTCTGTTGGAGAACCTCTGTCATGGTCCTTAAGTCTTTGCTTTAGGGCTGGCCAGATTTCCCAGAATGTATTCTTTTCTGCAACCCGGAGGGTCAGGGTCTGGCTGCTGAATCTCTTAAATGGGAAGAATGAGTTTCTCTGCATTCAGTTTTCATTACATATGTCATTATTTGGTCCTCCTCCTCCTTCCCTCCCTGTTTCTATATGGTGCCTGCACCCTCAAGTATGCTGATCAACCTCTAATCCTAAAACCTTGTTTTAACTCTCTAGAAAACAACTCTTCAGGAGTGGGGAGGAACTTGCCTAGCCTGCATGTGTGTATGAGTGTGTGTGTGTGTGTGTGTGTGTGTGTGTGTGTAGGGGTGGTTGAGCTTCTATATCTCTGCCCCTCTAAGAACTTGGCCTTTTTTCCTATTTCTCTTCACTGCCAGTTCCATAGTTTCTTGGTGTGGTCATTTTCTTAGCCTTTTGAGTATTCTTCAATGTCAGTTGGGGTGATAGAAAGCAGACAATGAATGAAAACTGACTTAGGAGAAAGGCAAATCCTAAGTCAGATGTCAAGGGATAAAGCACCTTGGGACAAGTATAGAACAATATAACACTTGGTGTTAATTTTTTATTCAGCTTACAAATTGGCAAAGGACCTGTGGAACATTGGGCTATTTGCTAATACACCTCTCTTTTTCTGTTGATCTGCAGCATTTATCCAGTTGCTTCTATTTCTTTTCTATTTTTTCTTCTTTTGGAGGAAAAAGGTCTGGGGGAGGTCTAGGCAGTAAAGTTGTTCTAGGTATTTTCTGGACTATAAATGCTTGTTGTTTCCTTGTGGTCTCTTGCCTTTCAGTATGGATAGCACCACTGTTGAAATCCTAGACTTTGGGGTCACAGTACTTAGTATCCTATCTTATCTGAGATCTTAAACATGTGGCCTTCTTTTCTCATTAAATGGGGATAAAGGATGCCAGGCACAGTGGTGCACATCTGTAATCTCAGTGACTCTGAGGCAAGAGGATCACACCCTGCCTGTGCAACTTGGAGAGACCCTGTCTCAAAATAAAATAGAAAGGACTGGGAACCGAGCTCAGATTCGGGCCCTGCTGGGTTCAATCTCCAGCACAGCAAAAAAAAAAAAAAAAAAAAAAAAAAGTTGTGTGTGTGTGGAGGGTGGATAATAATGTGATTTTCTTGTAGGTCTGAGAGAGGAATAAATGAGATAATGTATGTAAAGTACCTGGCACAAAGTAAGTTCTAAATAAATGTTAGTTCACATTTATTGTTTTGAAAATTATCCCAGTTCTTATATCTTTCAACTAAAAATATCGAATGGTTGCCGGGCACAGTGGCGCATGCCTGTAATCCCAGCATTTTGGGAGGCTGAAGCAGGAGGATTGCAAGTTCAAAGCCAGCCTCAGCAATGTACCAAAACCATATGCACCTCAGCAAGACTGTGTATCTAAATAAAATATAAAAAAGGGCTGGGGATGTGGCTCAGTGGTAAAGGTACTAGGTTCAATCCCTGGTACAAAAAATACACACACACACACACACACACAATGGTTGAGGAAACAATAAATATTCTAAGCTCTTTTTGAAAAAGAGAAAGAGGCCGTCTATACTTTTCTTCCCCAATACTCCTCTTCATGTTTGCATACTGTTTTCATGTCACTGGAATGTGGAGTACACATGACTGGGCATTTGTCAAGGTGAGAGTTATTCACACCTGGTCAGATTCTCCCTTGCAGGGGAGTGGGGCCATCTGAGGCTCTGATGAGGATTGGCTTGGGATGTCCCTCAGATTTTGTTCTGGTTTTTGCTGGTTAAAAAGGGGCTACATCTGGGTGTATTTCAGGCCTTTTGGGGGAAGTAGTGGCAGATCCACGGCCTCAACTGTGTGGAAGAGGCAAGCATCCGCCTGAGCAGGGAGGGTTGGCATGAATACTGAGCAAAGGTGGTGGTTGTGGTGCTGATGTTGCCTCAGGATGACTCTTAGAGATCCAAAATGGAGCAACCTTTTCTTAATGGAACTGTCAGGGGAAAATAGGAAGAGGGATGATTATCACAGACACAGGGATAGGGAGGAACATGAGACTGAATGCAGTCCACATGGGCTGGTGGATTCAGTGGGGCGCTCATGCATCCTTGGAGCTCCTGGGGCTGTGGTGGTGGAACTCAGCCAAAGAGTGAAGGAACACAACCTCTCTCAGGCCCTTTCCCTCTGAACCTGAGGACTTGGTCAGCCAGAGAGTGAGAGGCCTTCCTTCTGGTTAGATGTTGTGCGTTATCTGTGGGCCCCTCCCCTGGACACTGGCCCAGCAACTTATCTTCTCTCTTCTCTGGAACAGAGTTACCATGGTTACGGGTACAGGTTGTGCTAGAGACCTTCTGGAGGGGGATTAAGCCAGAATCCCATGGGATTACCTGGTAGTCACTGTGCAGTCAGTCAGAGGAGGTGGAAAGAGCTCTGGTTTTAGAGTCAGACAGACATGACAGACAGACAGCCATGACTGTGATCCTGGCACAGTCACCTTTGAGCTGTGTGCCCTTGGGCAAACTGCATAGCGCTCTAAGCTTCAAAATGGAAGTGGGTTGTGCCAAGTACCATCCTAAGTACTTCTTATGTATAAGCTCACTGAAACTTCAAGTAGCCTAGTGAGGCAGGAACCATTATTATCCCCCTTTTTATGATAAGGAAACACAGGCGGATGGGGGACATAAACAACTTGGCCCAAGTTCCTGACAGAGTGCCCAGTGGTGTGTGGCCCTTTCCCCCCGTGCTGTTAGTACTGGAATGTCAGAGGAGGACTGAACCCACACATATCTAGTTCAGCCTGCCATTTTGTAGGTGAGGAGACTGAGTCCCTGAGGAGATGTTGGATTTCCCAGAATCCTAATCTACTGAGGCTACGTTGTAACTATAACCAGCTCCCTTGACTCCAATCCTGGGCCTTCCTCCTCCTCTCCTCTATCTAGGTCTCTCTGATTCTATTCGTATTCCCTGAAAAGAAATGGGTGTGTGAGGGGACAGGATGGGGAGAGAGGATGCCCTGGGGAAGAAAGCAACAGAGGGCACATGCTTACCAAGGAGCTGGCCTCCAGGTTGGGAGGGCAGAGCCAGTAGCAGCCCTGTAATAGGCTGGCTTCCTTTTGCTCTCCCCACTTTGCTCAGGAGTACCTGAAGGGCCTGTGCAGCCCAGAGCTGTGGAAGGAGGTCCGCTACCCACCGCTGCTGCACTGCGCCTTCCTGGGGGCCCAGGGCCTCTTCCTGGACTGCCTCTGCTGGAGCACCCTGGCCTACCTGGTGCCTGGTCCCCCTGGCTCCCTGATGGTGGGCGGGCTGACCGAGTCTTTCACCATGACCCAGAATTGGCTGGAGGAGCTGGTGGCACGGCTGCGCTGGGGCCCTGCCCCTCTGCTGACTCCTCGTGGTATCTGGGAGGCTGAAGTGACCCGGGCCTTTGGGGCCCTGGTTTGGATCCGTGGTGACCAGTATGCGGGGGACCTCCTTCAGCTGCCTCCAGCAGTCCAGGAGCTGCTGCTGAGCCTGGTACGGGATGCCGCAGGGAAGGAGGACATCATTGAGTGGCTCAGCCACTTTGGCATCTCCAACACCCACTCCAACCAGGAGGTGCTGATTTGCCCTCCTCAGCAAAAGAAGGAAGGCCTGGCCATGGTGTCCATGGGAGAGAGTCCTGGGTCCTTTCTGGAGATGGGTACCCTGCAGAAAGGGGGCCTGGAAAGTCCAAAGAGATTAACCAGCCTAGGAGCCACTGGGTCCCTGATCCCAACCCAGAGCACACAACAGGAGACAGCAAACCAGCTGGTACGGTAAGTTCTGGAGAATGAGTCTGGCTTCTCTGACCCTAATCCTGTTCCCTTACCCCAGTGAAATATTAGTAGGTAGTTTGTGATTGAATTGGCCTTCCCACCTTTTCAACAAACTTGAATTTTCTCCAGGGTCGGTTCCAGCAACCAAGGTGGTAAGGACCGTGCTCAAGAGGAGGGGCCGTTGCAAGCCAGCAGCAGCCGAGACTCTTCGAACCACTCACAAACCTTGTTACAGCAAAGACAGGTCCAGAGGGTGGAAGATAAACTCCCCTTCCAGGCTCCTGTGTCAGCCCTGGGAGTGTGTCCATCCTGGAAGGCCTGGGCCCCAGGGCCAGCCTTTGGTCCCTTGTGGCCTGGGGCTATTGCTGCAACCTTCTGGAGGATCAATGAACTGCATTCTCTCCACCTGGCTTGGCTTCTGTCCCAGGCGGGCTTCAATTTCCCTTTCTGGCAGAGGCCAGTGGGCCCCATTCAGCTGAAATTGCCAGGGCAGAATCCTTTGCCCTTAAATCTGGAGTGGAAGCAGAAGGAGCTGACTCCTCTGCCCAGTGCAGAAAGCCCAGCTTGTAGACTGGATGGGGAGCTGGGAGGAGAGACAGCCCTACGGAATTTACCAAGGCCAGAGACCTCCCCTAAAATCACAAGTTTATTGGTGGTCCCAGCAGGCTCTGCTGTAAAGGACAAACTTAGTCCAGGACTTCCACAGATAGGGCCACCTTTGACCTCTGCACCCCAACTACAAGCTAGAGGTGAGCTTGGGGATCAAGGAAGTATGCCGTTGGATTGTAAGGGCCTAGAAAAGGGGCCCTCTCCAGCACTACCCTCAGAGCAAGGGATGCTCACAGAGCAAGAGGTGCCCACAACTCAAGGGAGGCCCATGGCTCAAGGTCATCTGACAGCCCAGCTAGTACCTGAAGCTCAGACAGTGCCTGAAACTCTCAAAGTGCCCCTGGGTGCAGCAGTGCGCAAAGCTGAAAACCCACCCATAATCCAAGGACTGCCTACAGCTCCCAAAGTGCCTACTGCCCCACTGATGCCGGCAGCACACACAGAGCCTGCAGCTCCCAAAGTGCCTTCGGGTCCAACAAAGCCAGCAGTTTCTGTGATGCCCACCACTGAAAAAGCAGTCATGGATCAACCGGTATCGGAATCAGCATTGACAGCTCAGGTGTTGTCTGCAACTCCAAAGACTCCCACAGCTCAGAAGATGCCTGCAATGAAAACATCACCTGTAGGTCCCCAAACACCCAAAGCTCAAGCCAGGCCTGTGCCTAAATCAGGGTCTACAGCTTCCAAAGCACCTGCAGCTCCCAAAACACCTGTGATCCCCAAAGCACCTGCAACTTCTAAAGCCTCCAGAGCTTCCAAGATGCCTGCACCCCAGAAAGTGCCCACAGATGCAGGGCCCACGTTGGATGTAGCCAAACTTCTGAGTGAGGTCCACCCTTCATCAAGGGGTAGTAGATCCTCACCAAAGGGCCAGGCGGCTGGAAGGCAGGGTCCCCAGCCCAACAGTACCCTAGCCCTCAGCAGCAAGCATCCGTTCCTGATGGAGGGGCTCCTGGGGGCTTGGGAAGGCACCCCAAGGCAGCCATCTCGCCACCAACAGGCAAGCAACACAGTGACCAGCTTCCAGAGGTACCATGAGGCCCTGAACACACCCTTTGAGTTGAATTTGTCAGGGGAACCTGGAAACCAGGAGTTGCGACGAGTGGTTATTGACGGCAGCAGCGTGGCCATGGTGTGAGTAGCCATGGGGCAGGGTGGCATGGGAATGCTGGGGAGCTGGGGCAGGGTATCCCTGGACAACTGAGTGTGGCCATCCTTTCCTGACCTCCATATGGGAAGTATAGGGTTTGAATGGGGAAAAGAAGGGAGCCTGACTTCGTGGGAGATGGCATGTGTTAAGTGGCCACTGCACACCCAGCAGTGGGCATTGAATCCTCATAGCAGCGCTGCCAGGGCAGGTTACTCTTCTTCCTTTTAAGTAGATGAAGAAATAAGCTTAGAGGTGAGAATCTTGCCTCAGGTCCCTGAGTCAGCCAGGGGCTCAGCTGCCCTTTGGGTTTACATCTGCCCACTGCTAAGGCCCATGCTCTTCCCAGGCAGCTTTTAAACATTTAGCCCAAATGTCGAGGCCCAGCCCAGATCCCTTCTGAAGGTTTTCCTGGCCACACTGTTCCTTAGAGATGGCCCTCCCTGCACGGAGCCGACTGTTGTAGAGATATTAGGATAGATACATGAAAGACCATTTAATTTGCCACATGGTAGAGTAGTGATCTGTGCTGAGCACACTCTCAGCACACAGTAGGTGGTTAGAGGATTTTTGTTTGCTTTAGGGTCTAAACTGAGCTCTTTGGATGGAAGGTCTGCATTCGTCCTCTTCTTGTCTTCAATGACCCTAAATTCATTCATACACACACACACACACACACACACACACACACACACTGTTTGGCAGTGCCCTGTGCTCAGTAGTTGCTCACAGAATGTTTGAGGATGGAGATAAGGGAGCAGGGCATTGTCGGTGTCTTTGGTGCTGAAGCTGGTCCCCTGGCATTGCCTGCTCGCTGTCCCAGGGCTTTGAGGGAGGGACTGTGAGGCAGAGCCATTTCTCCTGCATTTGGGAAGCTGCCCCCTCACCTCCTACCACCCCACAGGCATGGCCTCCAGCACTTCTTCTCCTGCCGAGGCATTGCCATGGCAGTGCAGTATTTCTGGAACCGGGGACACCGAGAAGTCACTGTATTTGTGCCCACCTGGCAGCTGAAGAAGAACCGGAGGGTGAGAGGTGAGATGTCCACCGTCTGCCCAGCCCCTCCAGCATCACCATGCTTTTCTCCTCCCTTTCTGCCCCTGCTCCCACCATAGCCTTTCCCACCTCTCCTCTCCTCTAATCATCTCTGTCTGCCTTTCATTGCCAGAGAGCCACTTCCTGACGAAGCTCCATTCACTCAAGATGCTTTCAATCACCCCTTCCCAGCTGGAGAATGGCAAGAAGATCACCACCTATGATTATAGGTACACTACACCCAGGCCTCTGTGGGGACCAGGAGTTGGGCCTGGATGGGTATCAGGTGGAGTTAGCATGGGCCATATAGTATTCCATTATGTGAGTCCCCATCTAGCGGATCTTTTGATTCCCTGGTTGAAGGTCATTTGACTATTTCCCTTTTATGCTGCTCCATCTTCTCTGGGGGAAATGGAGGCAAAAGTGTCATGGAATCATGCCCTAGAGTGTGAGGTGGGGTATAAGAGAGGAGAGGTCTCTACCAAGGTTTGCTCTACCCAAGCCCAAGGGTTGCTCTTGGCTTTGAGACTCGGGTGCTCTTTCCATGAATTAGCTGGCTTTCTTCCACCATGGCCTGTGTGACTACATACACTGCTTTGGATTGGATGTACTTTATGCTGAGTGAGAGTGAGAGGTACCCTGGACATTACCAGTTTGGGTTGAAGTTCATGTCTCAAGGAACTGCTTCAGTCTTTTTCTTTCTCTAAGCCCTGCACTGGGAGGAGGCATATGGCTGTATATAGATGGTGCCCTGGGCAGGGCTCTGGAAATGGAGCTAGATTGGCCCTGGTCTGCCTGAACCCTGATTGCTTCCTTGCCTATGGATCATAATTACCCACTTTCCAGAATGCCTATGGGAGCAGTGAGCCTAGGGGAGCCTGTGACCCTACCTCTGTTGGGGTAAGGAAAGTCCTGCTCTTGGGCTGGAGTTGATGCCAGGCTGACAGAAGTCTTGGCTTCACTTAGGCTGGGCAGGGAGAAGTTCTGTTTCTCCCCTACTTTTCCCAACCTGACATCCACCCAGCCTTTCATCCCAGGAGGGCGTGGACAGGACTACTTAGGCATCCATCCTTGGGGAGCTAGCCCTTGGGTAAGGTCTTTAACTGCCTCTAAATTCAGGCCTAGGTGTGAGGGAAGCTGCCTTCTCTGCAGAAGGCCCCCTCTGCTGGGCACTTATGGAATGGCATGCTTGGGGTAGTCCTCCAGCATTGCTGAAGTAGGTCATCTTTGTTTTCTTTCCTGGTTACAGCTCTCTTTAGGGGAGAGCCTTGAAAAATGGGTTTGCTTATTCAGGTATGTGTTTTTATATTCATTAGCATATGTATATATGTTTTTGCATATATATAAATGTTATGCATTGGTGAAGAATATTGGAATATTCATGTGTATGCTGTGCAGCAGGCACTGAGCTAGACACTTAAATACATCACCTCATTAGGTTCAATACTCAAAGCAATCTGGGATAGCTTTGTTTGCCTTCATTTCACAGGTGCAAAAACCCAAGTAGTAAATAGGCAGATGTGAATGTGAGTGAGTGGGTGGGCTTCTGTGCCTGCATGTGTAATAGGGGTGTGGGTTTGTATATATTGTTGGGGACATGTGCATACAAGTCAGTCCACTCTTTCAGTAGACTTCTGGCTATCCCACATGTGTTCCAGAGCTTTGGCTTCCTGTCTGTGAGGGACAGTGTTTTTGTTTGACACCTCACTGTGGAGCTGCTAGTTCATTTTCCCAGGGGACCCAGAAAGTGAGGGGGCCCTTCTCCCTGCAGGTTCATGGTAAAGCTGGCAGAAGAGACAGATGGCATCATTGTCACCAATGAGCAGATTCACATCCTGATGAATAATTCCAAGAAACTGATGGTCAAAAATCGGTGAGGCGGCTCCCTAGGGATTTGAGCCACTTGGTTCCCTTGATGTCAGGCAGCTCCTGGCAGGGGAGATGTTGGGGCAAAGAGAGGGGTCTTGAAATAGGGTTCACAGAACCTATGGGGGGATGGGGGCCTCAGCCACCGTGGCAGGCAGCAACAGGGTGTGGGTGAGTTAAGGGCTCATCTATGACTGTGCCCCTTTCTCTCCTGTGTTCCAGCCTTCTGCCCTTCACCTTTGCGGGGAATCTCTTCATGGTACCAGATGATCCATTGGGCCGAGATGGCCCTACTTTGGATGAGTTTCTGAAGAAGCCAAACAGGTAATAGGTCAGGCCTCCCCTGCCTCCTAGGTGCTCTTAGGACTGACCAGAACTTCCTTCTAGTGCTAGCCAATATTTGTCTACTGCTTAAAAATGAACAGAGTGATTTGCTTTTCATGACCTTATAGTTCTACCATACATCAATGCCTCCATAAGCAATGTAAGGAAGATTTTAACATTTTACACAGATGCTGTAATACTGTGTGTATCCTTCTACAACTGGCATTTGCACTCAACATTTTATTATTTTTTTCAGATGTGTGCAAAATCATGTAGCCCTCATATAGTATTCCATTATGTGAGTCCCCATCTAGCGGATCTATTGATTCTCTGGTTGAAGGTTATTTGACTGTTTCCCTTTTATGCTGTTGGTGCTGATGTGGCAGTGATGTAGCAATGAAAGCTTCATTCTTGTCCAAGGGATGCTATGTCTAGAGCATATGCTATTTCCTTTAGTATCTCCTTTGATCCTCACAGTTTGAGTTAGATGCCAATGACCACTCTCAATTTCTGGATGAGGAATTTGAGATTTAAATGACTTTTAGGAGGTTACTTTTTTGGTGTGGGCAGAATTGATTTGCAATAACTTTGATCCTCTGGCTCCACCTGAGCCATCGTGCTGCCCACCTTCCAATGCCTTGGGGCCACTAGGGGACCTTAACTTCCCAACAAGGCACTTCCTCTTGGGCCATTTCACCAATTTGGACGTGAGGCTGAGGTTTGTTTACTGAGTGTCGGGCTCTCCTTCCTATGTTGATCTTCCCCGGGAGTGCTTATCCTGGGGTAGATTGTAAGCTGCCAGTCATCTTTGGTCAAATCATTGGTTGAAAACTAGGTTGAATGTATCTCGGTCCATGAGGTTTTGATTTGATGAGTCATCACAGCACAGATGAATCTTTACAGTTGAGGTTAGGGCAGATGCAGGGGTTACAGCAGGGATTTGCTGGCAGAGCCCTGCCTTAGACCGTGCCATGTGGGAGGCTGGCGATCAGCTTAGCCTCAGGGATACTTAACAATGAGGTAAGGCTTTGGGGGGCATCCAGAGGAGTGTCTTTCCCTTGGATGATGTTTGGGTGGGGCTGCCCCCTCCCCCTATTTTTCTCCCTGTTTTGGTATAGGTTGGACACAGACATTGGCAACTTCCTGAAGGTGTGGAAGACCCTTCCTCCCAGCTCAGCCCGCAACTCTGAGCTGAGTGATGATGTTGACGCTGGGCCCCTGCAGGAGCCACAGAATGTGGCAGAAGTCAGAGAGGAGAAGGAAGAACAGCAGGAAGAGGAGCCGAGGGAGGAGCAGGGGTGGCCAAAGCTGGAAGAGGAGGGGGACGACCTTGACTCTTCCCTGGCATCAGTGTTCCGAGCCGAGTGCCCTTCCCTTTCGGAGGAAATCCTCCGGTGCCTCAGTCTCCACGACCCCCCTGATGGGGCCCTAGATATCGATCTCCTGCCAGGTGTGGCCTCTCCCTACCTGGGCATCCCCTGGGATGGGGGGGCTCCCTGCCAGCAGGTCCTCACCCAGCTGGCCCAGCTATCCATCCCCAGCAACTTCACTGCGCTTTCCTTCTTTGTGGGGTTCATGGATTCCCATCGGGATGCCATCCCTGACTATGAAGCCCTGATGGGCCCCCTGCACAGCCTCCTAAAGCAGAAGCCAGACTGGCAGTGGGACCGGGAGCATGAAAAGGCCTTCCTGGCCCTGAAGCGAGCCCTGGTGTCCGCCCTCTGCCTGACGGCCCCCAACTCCCAGCTGCCCTTCCGCCTGGAGGTGATGGTGAGCCAAGTGGCCCTGACAGCCATCCTCCACCAGGAACACTCAGGGAGGAAGCACCCCATCGCCTACACCTCGAAACCCCTCCTCCCCGACGAGGAGAGCGAGGGTCCCCAGTCAGGTGGAGACAGCCCCTATGCGGTGGCCTGGGCCCTCAAGCATTTCTCCTGCTGCATTGGAGACACTCCAGTGGTCCTAGACCTTTGCTATGCCTCCAGGACCACTGCAGACCCTGAGGCAAGGGAGGGCCGCAGGGTTTCCAAAGCATGGTTGATCCGATGGTCCCTCTTGGTACAGGACAAAGGCAAGAGGGCCCTGGAATTGACCCTTCTCCAGGGCCTGCTGAGGGAAAACCGGCTACTAATGCCAGCTTCCTCAATGCCCCGTTTCTTCCAGGTTCTGCCTCCGTTTTCTGACCTGTCCACTTTTGTCTGCATCCACATGTCTGGCTATTGCTTTTACCGTGAGGATGAGTGGTGTGCTGGCTTTGGTCTCTATGTCCTGTCTCCTACCAGTGCCCCTGTCTCTCTGTCCTTCTCTTGCTCTCCTTACACACCGACCTATGCCCACCTGGCAGCTGTGGCTTGTGGCCTGGAGCGCTTTGGCCAGTCCCAGCTCCCGGTGGTTTTCCTCACCCACTGCAACTGGATCTTCAGCCTCCTTTGGGAGCTCCTGCCCCTCTGGAGGGCGCGGGGCTTCCTATCCTCTGATGGGGCTCCACTACCTCACCCAAGCCTGCTTTCCTACATCATATCCCTCACTTCTGGTCTGTCATCCGTTCCATTTATCTACCGAACCTCCTACCGGGGCTCTCTGTTTGCTGTGACAGTGGATACCCTGGCCAAGCAGGGTGCCCAAGGGGCTGGGCAGTGGTGGAATTTACCAAAGGATGTGCCGGTCCCTGTAGTGACTCCCCATACTACGGGCAAGAAGCCCAACTTGCTGGCATTACAGTTGAGTGACAGCACCCTGGCTGATATCATCGCCAAGCTGCAGGCTGGGCAGAAGTTATCTGGCTCCTCCCCCTTCAGTTCTGCCTTTAACTCCCTCAGCCTTGACAAGGAGAGTGGTCTGCTGATGTTCAAGGGAGATAAAAAGCCCAGGGTCTGGGTAGTCCCAACACAACTCCGGAGGGATCTGATTTTCTCGGTGCATGACATCCCCATGGGGGCCCACCAGAGGCCAGAAGAGACCTATAAGAAGCTGAGGTTGCTGGGGTGGTGGCCTGGCATGCAGGAGCATGTGAGAGATTACTGCAGGAGCTGTTTGTTCTGCATCCCCCGCAATCTTATAGGCAGTGAGTTGAAGGTTATTGAGTCACCTTGGCCCCTCAGGTCTACTGCCCCTTGGTCCAACCTGCAGATAGAGGTGGTGGGTCCAGTAACTGTAAGCGAGGAGGGCCACAAGCATGTGCTCATTGTGGCTGACCCTAACACCAGGTGGGTAGAAGCGTTCCCACTGAGGCCCTACACGCATGTGGCTGTGGCCCAGGTATTGCTTCAGCACGTATTTGCCAGGTGGGGTGTCCCTGTGAGGCTGGAGGCGGCCCAGGGCCCTCAGTTTGCCCGGCATGTCCTGGTGAGCTGTGGGCTGGCCCTGGGAGCTCAGGTGACCACCCTGAGTAGGGACCTCCAGTTCCCCTGCCTGGCGAGCTCAGAGGTCTACTGGGAATTCAAGAGGGCCCTGAAGGAGTTCATCTTCCTACATGGCAAGAAGTGGGCAGCCTCCCTGCCCTTGCTGCACCTGGCCTTCAGAACCTCCTCCTCAGAGGCCACGCCCTTCCAGGTCCTGACTGGGGGTGAGGTGAGGGTGAGTGAGCCCCTGTGGTGGGAGATGAGCAGTGCCAACATCGAAGGGCTTAAGATGGATATCTTCCTGCTACAGCTGATTAGGGAGCTGCTGGATCTCCACTGCAGGGTGGCCGAAAAGGCAAGTGAGAAGGCTGACAACCGGCGTTTCAAACGGGAGAGCCAGGAGAAGGAGTGGAACGTGGGGGACCAGGTCCTCTTGCTGTCCCTCCCCAGGAATGGCAGCAGTGCCAAATGGGTGGGTCCTTTCTATATTGGGGACCGGCTGAGCCTGTCGCTCTATAGAGTGTGGGGCTTCCCAACCCCAGAGAAGCTGGGATGCATCTATCCCAGCAGTCTGATGAAGGCCTTTGCCAAGAATGGCACACCCCTGTCCTTCAAGGTCTTGGAGCAGTGAGCTGGAGCAGTTGTGGAGGCCCCTGCCCAGGAGTCCTGGGTTTCTGCTGCTAGGCCATACCCCCCCCCCTTCAGCTGTGCTCGCGCCCTGAGGGGCTTCAGTTGTGCCTTTTGTAGAAATGTTGCTTCATAAAGCTTTGCTGAATTGCCTTGAACTAGGGCTAGTGTCCCTATGGAAGAACCCCCAATTGGGGATATTCAGAAAATTTGCCAAAGGCTGTTAAATATGGGCCTCTGGCACTTTTACATTGGGGAGAAGAAAGTCCCCTTATAAAAAGTAGGTCAGTTTGTCTTGTTCCTCAAGTATCCTTTTCCCCCTATATACACATGCAGGTGTAAAGACACCTGGCTGACTTAACGGTGAAACAGTGTGACTCTGGACCTCACAGTTGGAACCACAGTCCTCTCCCAAACAGAAACCTCAAATTTGGGTGCCTTCCCTCAGTCTGTATTTGGGAAGCCCTTGCCCTTGGGGTTGTTGCTGACATAAACCCATATTGGCTGTGAGGAGGCAGCTGGCTCCTCAGCCTCATGGTGAGTTTTGTAAGGCCAGGCTCAGCTTTACCCGCTGTTAAGGAAGGGCTGGCTCAGGGTAAGAAGATGACCAGCCACGAGCCACCCATTTGTCAATGTGGGAAAGGCAGGAGGGGATGAGTACCCTACCTCATTTGACTCCAGCTGATGGAGATGACTCCTGCCCCTGCTTTGATGGAGTTGACCCCACAGGAATCAAGGATCTTGATGCCAAGTGTGGCATCTCTACCTGAAGAGCTGCTTCTACTGGACCAAGGGGTCCCCAGCCTCTGTTTTGCAGGTCGGGTAGGGGAGGTGTCTGAAGTGAGCCGTCTGGCACACAGTCAGGTGCTGGCATGACTTTACCTCCCAACACCATTCCAAAGCCCATTACCCTCCACTCCTGCCTTCACCGTATCCTGAGACCCCACGTCGTGAGTGATTGCCTTGTCTGGACACCCCACCCCCACCCTGTCCTCTGGATCTGCCTTCTGTGTAGAGTCAAACCCAAGTTCCCATTCTCGGCAAGCCTCACTCTTGCAGTTAGAGTGAGTTTCTCCCAGGTGGGTGTGCTTACACTCACCGCTCTGAATGCTGCTGCTATGAACAACCAGTCTTTGACCAAGGCCAGCACAGTGTCTCTGGCCGGGCCACTGAGTGGTTTCATTTCTGAGGAAGTTGGGCCACACTTACTTCTGGCCTCTCTCAGGTTGCCCAAACACTTGGCAGAGTGCTAGAGTCAGAAGGGAACCTGCCATTGAGTCCAGCCCACTTGTTTTTCAGTAAAGGGGCTCAGAGAAGGACAGTAATTTGCCCACAGCTTGTCGGGGGCTGAGCTTGGACCATGGTTAAGCTTCCTGACTCACAGTTCACTATGAAAAGTGTTCTGGCAATAGGTTCAAGCAAGAGAATCCTTTGAAACCCTAGCCCACGTTCCCTCTAACTCCCCATTTTCCAAACTTGTATACAAACTACCTGAGTATTATCCTTAAGCCAAGTCCAGCTGTGAATCCTATCCAGGATTAGTTGATTGGGTGAATGATTTGGTGATAGCTGAGAAACTGAAAGGTTAGCTGCAGAATTTTTAGTAGATACCTCGCCTCCACCCTTGTGCCTTCTCTTTCCTCTAATACTGTGTCCAACCTCACCCTACCCTCCCAGCTGTATACGTTTCTGTTAACTGCATTTTTATCTTATATCCTTTTTCATGAATTTTTTTTCCATTTGTCAATAAACATTAAACTGGAGCCCAATGTTTAGTTCTTTTTCTTAGCTTCAGACTCAGTTGGACAGTGAGGAGGGTGGGGACAGTTTGGGGGCATGGCTGTTGTTTTCCAGGTGGACTTACAGACTTCTAGAGGTGGATAGTGTCTTTTTAAGATCACCTGGCTCAAGCTCTTCGTGTGAGATGAGGAGACCAGGTACAGGGAGTGATGTGCTTAAGGCCCCCTTGACTGGTTCACGGCAGAGCTGGGAGGGAAACCTAGGATTGGGGCCCCTAAGATTTCTCCAGTTCATGTCTTGGAAGTGGGCACGGTGTACAGAAGACACATGGCTCCTGGTTTAGGGGAATGGCATTAGTGCCAAACTAGCTTGACTTACATTGGAAAGCTGATGGACCTAGGTTTGGATATTGACTATTCTGAAACAGGATAAGTACATGGCCTGTTTGCTGAAGGCTCTGTTTCCCTATCTGAAAAATATACAGGGCAACAATTCCTAAATTATGGGATGGAGCAAGGAAGACATGAAATAATCTGTGTGAATAGGCTAGCGTGTTGCTGGGATATGGAGTAAGTACTTACCATGTGCTAGTTATTACCACTCTGCTTCCTGCTCTTGCTGTTCTCCTCCCTGGAGCTCTGAGACCTTCTTGCCTTGGCCATGGTACCTGACCTTTGGCCTCTGCTTTTTGTTGCCTTTTTACTTAGTGCTGGCATTGGCATGGACTGACACTAGGGAATTACCTTTCCTGAGAACTCCCCAGTTCATGTGTATACCATTATTCATTTAGTATTTATAGTGCACCTACTAAGTGCCAGGCTCTGTTTAGGTGTGGGTGGATAGCATGTAATATGATTGACAAAAATCTCTGCCTTGTTGAAGCCCATAGTTGGGTAAAGGAGAAAGACAATTGAATTAACAAGTACTGTACAGAGTAGTAAGGGAAATACTGTGGCACAGGAGTCCATGAAGCTGGGGCCTGGGTTCTCAGCTCACATCCCATTCCAATATTCTTCCTGGAGCCCATTCACCAAAAGTAGTACATCCACTCTTGGCACAGGTCAGAGAGCAAAGGGTTTAGAACTCTTAAGCAGAAGGCTCAGCAATCCCTTTATTTTCTATTCTAGATGAAGTTAAGCAATAATTAGAATTTAGCCCCACTGATTTCTGAGATTTTTCTTTTTTGAAATTGAACATGACAAGGTATGAGTAGAAATCTGTGATTCCTTCAATTTTTGGAGGGGTGAATAATGAGATATATAAGGCACTGCTTATTATGTTTACACCTATCAATTTTTTCTTCTCACAGGCAGGGGTACGGGCTGATGAGCTTCTCCAGGTCTCCAACAGAGAAATTATAAAGTAGCCAGTGTGTGACAGTCTCATAAGATAATGCAAATTATAAAGACATCCTGTTCCTATGTTAACCCATACATAAACATCTGTAAGTTTAAGACCTCCTAAGCCTGCTCTATCTTCTCTCCCACACACCATTTACCAAGTCCTTGTGTTCATAATCTGGAAGATGAAAACATTTTACCAGGTAAAGGGCCACTAGCAAAAACAAATATTCTACCTACATTTTTAGGATTATGGAAGATTCCCCAGGACATATGCAAGTTTCAACTCGTTTACTAATTCACATGGAAACAGACACTTACATATATTGAGTATTTTCTCTGTGCTGGGCACTGTTCTAAGTGTTTCCTATTCCTGTGGGGCAGATATGATTAATGTATCCATTTTACAGATGAAGAAAATGAGGTATGGAGAGGTGAAGTAACTCACTGAGGGTCATGTGCAGCTGCTAAGTGACAGACTGAATTTGAATGCTGCCTCCTATACCCACCACCTTAACCACTATGTTCATTGCTCTCACCCTGTTACATTCACATTGTTTTTAGAGTTACTCCCCCATCTTTAGTTTATGGCCTCTCCATCTTTCATTAAGGCATTATATAGTATCAGTTAGGATCTCTGTTTCAAGGGCTGGGGTTGTGGCTTAGTGGTAAAGCACTCGTCTAGCATGTACAAGGCCCTGGGTTCCATGCTTAGCACCACATAAAAATGAATAAATAATAAAATGAAGGTATTGTGTCCAACTACAACTAAAAAATAAATGTTAAAAAAAAGATCTCCATTGGCTTAGATTAAGATGATTCACAAACTAAAACAGGCCCTGGTTTACCTCTGTTGGATCTAAGAACAATTCTCTTGGTCCTGTTGTGTTTTTCAAATATCACACTTTCTTTTCCAAGGAGTGCCATTTTCCCTCAGCTAAGTGGTGCTGTTTCTTAGGTCTTCACATGCTTGTAGATGATGAAAAATGGAGCAGTACACATTGCAATAGTTGGATTGGGAAGGGCCTTCAAAGCATGTTAAGAAACATGGAGTTCATTCTGGGGCCCACAGGGAGCTTCTAAAGGGCATTAGTTAGCAGCAAAGTTTATTTAGATAGATCATTATGGCAATTCCCAAATGGAGAATGGGCTGAGTAGGGAAAACTGGAGGCCAAGGGGCCAGTTAGGAGGCTTTTATAGAAATCCAGATGAGAGGTTGGTAGTTTGAGCCAGGGTGGATGGAAAGCAATGAACAGATCCCATGGATATGGATGAGGAGACGGGGGCCCAGGGGGATAAAGACCAGTTTCTGGTTTGGACATATACAAAGAGAATAAGAAAGGGAGAGCAGATTTAGAATCAAGTCTCTAAGTTCAGGTTTCAGCATGTTGACTTTATCAAGCAACAGTTGATGTGTGACTCCAAGGTTTAGAAGAGAGATCTGGATAGGGTTAGCAGGGAAGTTGTCAGTGTAGGGATGGACATTGGTGCTACTGAGAGTGCATTCGAACTGAAGAAATTCTAGGGCAGACCTTTGAGAAACACCAACATTTCAGAAAAGGCCAGCAGTACAGAATTTTGAAAAAGAAGCTGGGACATGGGCATGTGGTGGAGGGAGAACCCAGGGAGGGAAGTTACAGAGTCAGGGCAGAGTGATTTCCTAAGAAGGTGTGGACAACAGGCTCAAATGTTTGGAGGACTAGGAGGTGTCTGTGGACTTTAGTGAGACAGAAGTTGTGAGTGACTGATTGAGGGCCAGCTTAGGTGGAGCAGTGGAGGCCAAAGTTTGACAATGATTAACACACGAGTGATTGGACAGCTCAGTCATGTGTAGTAAGATATTTGGCTCAAAGGGGAAGATGAGATGATGCTGACCAGCCGTAGGTGCATACAGAGCTGAGGGTAGCTGCATCTGTATCTGAAGCTACTTCCATACCTGTTTCCCTTTTAGATTTAAGAGACTTGATCTCTTAAACTCTTGAGGCAAAGGAGTGAGCAGAAAGGACAGGAAAGACAGGAGTATGTTTGGAGGGAATGGAATCCATGGCTGGTGGATGAAGATAGCCGCCTTGACAGCACAAGGGACTCGGTCTCCACTGAACCAGACAGGAAGAAGCAGGGATGGGGAGGAAGGTGAGTTTGTGGGTGTGGTGGGGGGAAGGCTCCTGCCTAAATGAGTCTGTTTTCTCAGGGGGTCAGCAGCTGGCAGGGGGAACAGCAACCAAGGCAAAAGGTCAAAGGAAAGAACAGAAGGCTGCAGGCGGATTCCAGAGAGGATGAGGAAAGAAGCTAACAAAGGCATCCAGAGGGTCACTGCCTGGGATATTGGGGGCCAGGTGGGGTGGGAGGCTATGGATTTAGATTCACAGTGAATCCTTCATCAGTGGGACCTTCCTGTGTAGAGCTCAGTTGCCATGGTGCAGGCAGAGGGAAGGTGAACAGTTGGACTCTAATTTTAGGATTCTTTAAGTCTGAGGAGCTTTTGGTACCTAGAGAGGAACACATACCATCACCTGGGTTTTATTTATTAACTCTATATTTCATTAACATTCTTGAGCAAAAATCACCAAAACACTTGAATACTTTATATAAACAACAAATCAAAATCTACACCTGTTACAAGGGAAATTATTTAAACATTAATCATAAAAATTGAGTCCTTCTAAAATATTTCAATAGAACTGCCAGTCTAATGTGTCAATTCCTCTAAAAGCTTTAAACACTTTGGAAAAGCAAACACATCATTAAGAAGATAATAAACTTTTTTCCTAAATATTTACTTTTTAGTTATAAGTTGACACAATATCTTTTATTTTATTTTATTTTTTGTGGTGCTGAGGATCAATCCCAGTGCCTTACGCATGCTAGGTGAGTACTCTACCTCTGAGCCACTACCTCAGCCCCAAGAAGAGTATAAAATTTTTTAACCTACACCTGAAACTATTATAAAAATGGGTTGATAGACCCCAGAGATGAATACTACCTCACTTCAGACCAAAATTTTAATTTAGAAAATAGAAGAATATTATCCTAATGCTGAGGAAATTTTGGATTATTAATCACTGAACTCTTGATTGAGACCTGGGAACTGATTTACCTTCTGGGTAAAACCTGAACTTTTTAAGCCCACACATTTTCCATGCGTTTAGTGTATTGTGCTGGATGCCTTTTCTCTACAAGATGTCATCTTTATGTTTAAAGACTATGATGCAGATTTCTTGAAGATGTCCATGCCCTGATCCCTAGAACCTGTAAGTCTGTTATGTCATATGACAGAAGGGACTTTGCATATGTAATTCAGATTACGGACCTTAAGGTAGGAAGATCATTCTGGATAAGGTGGGTATGCCCAATCTAAGCATGTGAATCCTTAAACTCAGAGAATTTTTTCCACTGAAATCAGAGAGATTAAAGTGGCTCAGTTGTTGGCAGGAAAACAGAGGGCCCAGGGAATCAGCCCTACAACCGTAAGGAACTGAATTCTAAATGAGTTTGGAAGTAGATTCTTCCCTTCCAGTAAGGAAGGTAGCAGCCCAGCCTACACCTTGCTTTTGACTTCGTGAAACACTAAGCAGAGAATGCAGCAATGCTTTGCAAGACTTCTGACCTATAGAAACTGAGGTAATACATAGGGGCTGTTCTAAGCCAAGGAGTTTGCCACAATTTGTTGCACAGCAGTAGAAAACTAA